AACCCCTAGGGACCTAGTTTCTTAGTCACAGCTTGGAAACAGTTGAGAGCCCCACCCTATAACCGTATATATACAATTGCTGAGTATAAAGAGATGATTGCACATATGCTTCCAGGTTGGCCTTGGGGACTGCCCCACCCTTGGAGACTTAACCCCTGGGTCATAACTTTGAAATGGTTAATATCCCCACCCCAAAACTATATATACAATTGTTGGGCATAAAGAGACAAATGCAGTCATGATATTAGAATTGATCCCAGGGTCTGCCCCACCCTTGCAGACTTGGCCCCTGGTTCATAACTTTGAAACGGTTGAGATCCCCACCCCAAAACCATATATACAAATGCTTGGCAAAAAGAGACAAATGCAGTCAAGATATTAGAATCGATCCTGGGGTCTGGACACAACTCTAGGGACCTAGTTTCTGAGTCAAAGCTTGGAAACAGTTGAGATCCCCACCCCATAACCATACATAAAATTGCTGGTCATGAAAAATCTAATATAGCTATGCTACAAGGATTGGCCTTGGGGTCTGGCATATTCCCTTGATCTCATTTGGAGAATAGTTTGCCATGATTGCTTAGGTATCCAGGTGAGTGATACAGGCCCTCTGGGCCTCTTGTTTTATTACATACTCCAAAAGTAGTGTCTAGAAAATGTGGCTCCACTCTTGAAGAACTGTAATCTGGATTAAATTCATTTTGAATGTTGAAATTCAAATTCATTTTTGCATAAGGAGAAAGAAACCATTTAAAATTTTAGTGAAACTGTTGAGCTAATAAAGATTTCAGCACAAGGGTCAATAGTCAATCTTTAAAAAACAAAGTTATGTTGAATTTTTAGCCAATTGAGTTGATCTGAAAAGACTTTACCAATTTATTTAAGTTTGATAAAAAAAAAAATTAATTTATTTGTGTTGAGTTACTTTGGTTTTGTGTGTATATAACCATATTAGCTATTACTTAATGTTGTTTTACGCTTTCTTTTATTCAGAGAACATATTTATTTGCAACATAAAATATAATTCCATGTGACTAACTTGTATGCTATTGGAAAATGCTTGAAATTAATTGTTTCAATTAAAACAAAGTTTGAACATTCTGGTTTTGTCATGACATTTAGTAATATTATTTATTCACGTAATCTTCATGATGTGAAGTGTTGTTTCTTAAAAATTACAGGCATCAAATGATGTTTGGCATAAGGTCATGTGATATTCAAAGTTCAAGATACAGTTTAATAACATGGCCTTACAAACATAGTTATGAGACCTGAAAAATTGGGAAAGGAAAGGAGAGGGGGAAAGGAATTCACAAAAGCTTGGTGTTTAACTTCAAAAATAACCTTTTAGGAAAGCATAACATTTTCATTAACCCTGAAAGTTTACTGGTGTGTGATTCTTACAAATATAAATGTTTCACCTTAATGACTTTGCAGAGAGATTATCTGTAAAATGTTACTTTCCTCTTCAACAGGGTACCCAGGTAATGGTACGGGTAGATGTTTACGTACGCAATCTTGGCCATTTTGGTGTTATCATTTTTTGGATGATTTTTACAACATTTGGTCCTGGCTGCAGTTAATGAAACTCATTGCTTTTTCCTTTTGTTTGAAGTTATTCTTCATAGAATGGTGGATGAAATGTCTGTTGATGATATTTGACGTTTTTGTTACCAGTTACCTCCCTTCCAAACAATGTGATGGATCCTTTGGTCCTATAATTCATTATTCCCTGCTATATAAACATGAACATGAAGTGAAATTTTAAAAGGGAAGTCCTTTTAAAATTTCACTTCCAACTGCATATCTCTTAATTAATTAAGCTTGTTCTTTTAGACTGGGAAAGTCACAAATGTATAATTCTGAAATGGACTGTTTTGTTTGAACTTCCTGTTTCTCTATTTCATTACTGAGTTACCTGATGAATATAGAGTTCTTTTCAAGAATTCAAGGTGAACTCTTCAATTGGAGGTTTTAGGCACAAGCGTTGTATGTTTTTCCATCAAAAGTGATACCACATATCACTGCCATGGTCGTTGTTACGATGATAATTGCTATCGACAAATGAACATTGCGATGATGAAAAATGCAACATTTTTCTTGGCATCATTGACACTGCAGATTGTGTAGTCTTTAAATCAAGATACATGTATTTATATTATTATAATTAGCCTCCTTGCTGTCATAAGTTCACTAAGATTAAAGATTTTCATTTGTCTAGACCATAAAGTCCGGAGTTAAACGTGTAAGCAACTTGTCAATTTAAGTAATAAGTTCAATTCCAGTCTTCAGAGAATTATACACGTATTTTGATGATGAAAAAAAAGTTTTCAAAGACATCTATTGAAAAAAGGTACTATCATGGGGAATTCTGAGGAAGTAACATTAACTCATTTATCCCTGAAGACCCATTTGAACTCTTCCAATTCAAAGGTTGGAATAGTTCATTATGAAACTTCAGGGGTGAATGAGTTAAGAAAGGAAAGACAATGTGGAATTTTATGACTATGTAGCAATCTCATACCGGTACATATGTAGTTTTGAATGTGGATGTGAACACATCTCCGACCCTGTTTATGTATATTATAAAGTCTATTGTATTGTTCCTGTGGCTCCTTATACATCAGAGATTTAGCTCCAACATGTTCTCTACAACCCTGGAATCCGTCATGATGTATTGAAGGCTCTGTACGAGTCACCTTGTGGACGATACCTCTGTACGAGCCACCTTGTGGACGATACAAGTACATCGTAGACTAGTTTGATCCTTGATGTACACAAACAAAATTATGTATCAGTCTAGCAATTGGTCAGGGTTTTTTAACAGAAACCAATCAAATAGCTAAATATAACCGCATGCCATGACATATTCCAGGGAAGCATAACCACTGGAATTTCGAGAATGCATATGCATTATAAGCATTAATTAACAAGTTTGATAGCACACAGCCTGGTTAAGTAGTATATGACTGTTGAAGTGTACTGGTTTCCTGGTAAGTTTAATTGGAAAATTGCTGTAAAGAAAAACATTTGTTGCATGTGAATTTATTAGTACATGTGTGTACAATGTCAGTTGATAAAGGAATTCTGATGTTCCCTTAAAGATAAAGGGTGAAAGTTCTTCAAATTTGTTGCCCTCTTCAAAGAAGCTTTCAATAAGTATTGTCACTCATTAAAATACAACGCAATTATATAATTAAGGCTATAATTTCCACATTTTGCAAAAAAATCATACATTTATTCCAGTCTTCAGAGAATTATACACGTATTTTGATGATGAAAAAAAAGTTTTCAAAGACATCTATTGAAAAAAGGTACTATCATGGGGAATTCTATATCCCCATTATAATGGCAGTGCCATTATATATACCTGGTTGTCATAGCAGCTATGAAACCATAACCCAATTGTTGACATCATTATTTCATAGTCATAATTGTTATGTCGCAAATTGATATCACTGACTTTTCCTAGAAGTTTGTTGTTTATCTGTTGTCTACTCGTGACAAGTTGTTCAGGGTATATATGGATTTGCATGTACATATGTGTCCTCGTCAAGGTCATTGCTCTATTGATTTCATTCAGTCTTCCACTGGATCCCTGGGGGTTTATAGGTTTGAACTCTGTCCGTCCTTCTGTCCTTCCGTCCTTCCATCCTTCTGTCCAAGAAGTTTGTCCGGGACATATCTTCCATACTATTTCACCGGAAGTAACCAGAGTTTGTGTACAAGGACATCTTGGCATGGTGGAGTACAGAGTGCAAGAATTAGGTCACTATGACCTCACTGTGACTTATGCTTTGACCTTTGAACTTACATTTTGATAAAAATTTGTCTAGGGCAAATCTTAATACTATTTCACCTTGAATAACCCGATTTATTTCATAAAACTATATTGCAAATTTCTTCTGTTGGCAACAAAACAATTTTAACATTACAAAGATGCCTTTAATGTTGTGTTATGTATCAGGATACTTTCCTAACAGTAGGTAAACCCTGACATATGTGTACTGTTTGTTAAATATAGACATCATTACCGGTGGGGGATATTTGTTAAATACAGATAAATGCGGAATTTTGATAAGTGAATGTTATTTTCATTAAGATTAAAGTGTCCCAAAAATTCAACTTATAAGCAGTGGAGTGCATTCAGTTGGCAATTGTGGTCAAATGAATGTCAACTGGAAACTTTCCAATTCAAAATGAAGTGCTAGCAACTTGTTGGAATGTGTCATTTCTAGTTGTCGTTGTTACTAACTTAATACCAACTGTGTTCAGTGCTTTAACATTTTGAAAAATGTATGCAGATATACTTTTAGAAAACTAAAGGATGATACCAATAAGCATCAATCAAAATTAAAACTAGTAGTTATTATAATTTATGGATAAAGCATGCTGTGGATGAGCCGTGATTGATATTTGTCTGTCGGTATGTAATGCATGTCATATAGAAACAAATAACCCTGTACTGGTACATGTTTCATGCTTGTGCCTGGTAGTCTGTGTGAACATTCAAACGATTCTTATAAAGACAGTGGTTCATGATACACACAATGCTATTTAATATTTGTGTCGGTGTGGTGACCGGCGTGAACGTTGGTGGAATCGTCAGTAGAGTTAATTGATGCATGGGATTGATTTGTTGTGTTACCTTGTCTTCTGCTGTTGCTATAAGACTGTGGGTGAACATATGTATGTTCTGCTGCTGTTGCTTTAAGACTGTGGGTGTACATATGTATGTTCTGCTGCTGTTGGGTAGATGTTTGTTGACCGGTAAAAATCTAAATCTCATGCACTTTATGCATCATGAATTTGACACCTTCTAAATGTTAATTGAATGTAAACTGATAGTTTCCTGATTATGATTTTGTATAGAGATGTAGGATTGGATGATATTAAGAATCTGTCTAGGTTTGTGATTACTTATTAATAAATTTGTGTCAAGAAAAAGGGGATTTTAATGTGTCGCATTATGTTTTGAGTACATGACTTGTTCTTCATTGAGAGAAAATCCAATTTAAAATGTATGGCATTCACTTGTGTGCAATACAGTGAGAGAATATGACTGGTCAGAATACTAACCAATCAGGTTGTTATGTCTTTACAGAAGGCGGAGTGGATGACGACAACATGTAACCATGCACTGTATGCTATCGTTGACGTGTTCACCCAGTACTATGACGTCCTACATGACGTTCTACTGCTGGAATTGTACCACCAGCTCCAGTGGTGTGTACGCCAGGACAATGAGCAGCTTGCCCGCTCTGGGACCAACTGTCTGGAGAATCTGGTCATCTCAAATGGCGAAAAGTTCTCCTCAGATATCTGGCATAGTACTTGTACCTGTATGCTGGACATCTTCAGGAGCACTATACCGCTCAGGTGAGTCAGCAGACCAGGTCAATCCTTTCTCTAACTTTTCTGTTCCTGGCATCGATCCTAGGGCATCTCTAGGGTCTTGGCTTTGAAGATTGTTCAGATAACTGTACTTACTTTCTAGGTGAAGAGTGGAGGGGGATTGATCAGAGTAATAACACAAACTTATTGGTACTATATTTTCTTCAGGGGGCCAACATATTACTCAGGCTCATAGAAGTATAGGGAGGATGGGTTTATTACTGGACCAAGAAGAAGCATCTGTCAACATTTCTACTGAAATACAAACAATAGGGAGGGGAGGGGAGGGGGGGGGGGGCTTATTAACAGTCAAAGGCTTATCAAGGATAATTATGAAAGTTAAATGCCTCCAGATTTATATGAATCAAGTTGAAATTGTTGACTGCTGTGTTGAATGAAGAAATTTGTTTTCCCCAGTTTGTTGACATGGCGACCAGAGACGCCGGACACTCCCGATTCACCTTCCTCACTGGTGAAACAGAACACAATTCCTGAACATGACGTGGGGTACATGGGCGAAGATGGACAGGTAACAATATTTAATGTCACATAAAGAATAAATTTATTTCATACAGGATCAGTTCTGGCTTAAAACCTAGCCTATTAGTGTCCCTTAAGAGAAACATCACACTCCTGACCAGCCTGCAGCAGACTCATTTCTGGGGTTTGTTATTACCATGATTTACATAGCTGGTACAGTTATTGCAATGATAGTAGCTATATGTGTTACCAATGATTCCTCTAATAAGGATATTTTATATCATACACACAGTGAGTGACCCATCACACATGTCCATACCCTGAAGGTTAAGTCAAATGGTCAAAGATTAAAGCAATGTAATGCTTTTCAGAACCATATCTTCTTACAGCAGAAACTTGTCTTATGACATCACATTTTTCATGAACAGAGAGAATATTGCACTGTCAGGTTTGTACTATGAAATTCAAGGTTATGATATGAAGTCAAATGTCGAATGATTGTGATGCTTTCCCAGACCATAACTCGTGATTGTCTTCTTATTTTCTGAAACTTCCCACAAACAGTGACAGTGTCGTTGAACACTCCCAGGACTGTACACAAACGGTCAAGGTCATTCATGGGGAAATGTGGGATAGGAAGGTATTTTAATTAGCCTTATCAATACTTGGACAGGCCCTGAAACGTTCCTGCATTTTAACACCAAAAAGGCATATTTCTGGAAATAGTTCCCCATGTAAAAAATCTATTTAAATGGGGAGTGAAGGGCATGTTTCTGAACTTAGCTTTTTATGGGTAACCTGTGGTATGTAACACATGATTTTTGGTTGCAGGACAACATCTCTATGGAGGGTAGCCATGACAACAGGTCACTGAAGCATGCCGACAGTAACCATAGTGTGAACAGCTCAATATCACTAGAGTCCAGGGAACACAAGATCCCACGTTCTAGTAAGTATGCAGTGTCAGCAGCGTCCAAACACAGAAATAATTACATGAACTCATAATGAACCTTTAATCTAATGAAGATCATAGGGTTTTTAAGCGGAAGGGGAATCTCATGGAATTACATTGTGTACCTGGTGTTATTTCAGAGGTGGGCACAGACCAGAAGTTGTTCCAGGGATTACTCATCAAATGTGTCGTCCAACTTGAACTGATTCAGACCATAGACAATATTGTTTTCTTTCCAACCACCAGCAAGAAGGAGGATGCTGAGAATTTAGTCGCTGCTCAGGTAAATATTTCCTAATCTGGAAATAACTAAAAAAAAAAAAAATCTAGAAAGAGCTCCAGTTATATTCTCTAATCTAGAAATAGCTCTAGTAAATATTGCCCATTTTAAAATCTCTTGTTTGTCTCAGAAATCAGTTGTCTTGTATTATCGCGGAGCAATTAAGTGTCTGTGGAAAGGGCACCATTACAGGAGGAGGACCAGGGATGTTATGATGTTCTATGATAAATCAAACTTTGACAAAAGTATTTTGTTTACCTCTGTAGGGGGGCGTGACTGTGGGCGGGGCCCCAGTACAAGAGGAGGACCAGGGGATGTACCAGTACCTCAAATCAGACCAGCTCTTCCTCCTCGCTGACTGTCTCAAAGAGTCACACAGCTTCGCAAAGGACTTCAATTCCAACCATGAGCAGCGTAATATTCTGTGGAAGGCGGGCTTTCGTGGCAAGGCAAAGCCCCATCTCCTCAAACAGGAAACTCAGAGTCTCGCATGTCTGTTCCGTATTCTGTTCCGCATGTATGATGACGATGCTCGTCAGGATGCGTGGGATGATATTGAGACACGACTCATTCAGTAAGCCATATGTACTCTCCACTGTAATTAACAACCAGATTCTCTGTTTCTACCATCGTTGTGTAAAATGTCCTCATCAAGCTATTGCAGTGTAAAATGTTCTCATGAAGTTATTTTGATACCAGTGGCAGCTTTATTAAAATAAAGCAATATGTTTTATATGATGCACTACCTATTTCAATAAAGCATCAATCAAATTGTATTTCTTTAAAAATTTCCTGAATGTAAAATCTGTTACCACTTTCTGTTTAATATAAGTTTGTTTTTTCTATGGTAACCTACAGGACGTGCCAAGAGGCGCTGGACTACTTCCTGGCACTACAGTCAGATAGCCACCGCGAGGCCTGGAGCAGTCTGCTCATCCTCATCCTCACCCGCCTCCTCAAGATGTCAGACAAAAGGGTATAATATTCTATCATAGGCAAAACAAAATCATAGCTGATTTTTCCATTTTGGCTAAGTGACAAATAAATTTTAAGGAGGAAGAGGAAACAAATATTTCATGTCTTTGCCATTTTATTGGGGAAGAAATTTGTCAAGCAATTCAATAAAACCAGTATCTTTCTAGTAACTTTATTTCTGAATGAGTTTTGATCAAACTTATGTTAATGTTGAGTATGAGAATGCCTTGTAAGAGTTTGTATTTTAGAGTTACAAGGTCAAGAGGAAGACCAAGGCTACTGCTTTAAAAGAAAATGTTTAAACAATTACTCAAATTATGTCTTACAGACATTTACTAGTTTCTGAAGATGGAAATATAATTTTTCACATATATGTATTAGTATCATACTATGTTATGGCTAGCTTTATAAAAATCTGTCATTAATATGCGTATTAAATGAACTTGATTTCATATGGATCCTTTGAACACAGGTGCCAAGTAAAACACCTTGAACACTTTGTCTTAGAAATTATGTAAGGGAAAAAGAAATAAAGAACAAAAAATGGTTTTGTCTTAATAGAAATTATGTAAGTGGGTGAAAAAAGAAATAAAGAAAAAAAATGACCTGAAACTGGAAGTGATATACCTGCTGGAAAATGGGTGGAGGTGGGGATTTATTGCAAGAGAGTTTATTAGTAAGTCCTGCATCAGTACTACTGGACGTGACTGTAGGTTAGCACATGATTTATCAGTGTGACGGTCAGTCAGTGTATCGGTCAGTCAGTGTATCTGACTGTATCGGTCAGTCAGTGTGTCGGTCAGTCAGTGTGTCGGTCAATTTTGTATACAAGTATCTCTTGGGCGCTAGAGTGTCACATACTGAAATCAAGTCTTGTGCTCAATTAAATACAGAACCTTGGCCTTTTGTTGAATTTGAACCACCTCTCCAAGGTATACCTCATATATACTCTTGTCACTTACAGTGGCAAAATTTGGTATCTCTTTGGATTGCCGAGTAACACATCATGAAATCCGGACTTGTGTCCCTTCACATAGAGTTGTGGGCCTTTGTTCACTTTGCATTGCACTGTTTGTGGCAAACTATTGGCTCATATGCTCAGCATATACAGTTGCCATTTTGTGGCTACTTCTTTGGATGGTTAAATATGCATACTGAAATTTGTATTGTGTCCTTCTATATACAGAGATATTGCCCTTTGCCATTGTTTATATCAAAGTTGGTCCACAAGTAGGGTACTATGGATTGTTCCCAATGCCTTGTGTCAAGATTATTTATTTTTTTGTCATTTTCAGATGTTGAAAAGTGGGCTTGATTTTAAGAATCAGCTTTGGTTGTATAGAGTATATATCATGTAAAGGATGATATAAATTGATCTTGATATATAGTAACTGCTCCAATTGCTGAATAGGACACAATAGGGGATGTAGAGGTGATGTGACCTACAAATTATATAGGACACAATAGGGGATGTAGAGGTGATGTGACCTATAAATTATATAGGACACAATAGGGGATTTAGAGGTGATGTGACCTACAAATTATATACCACACAATAGGAGATGTAGAGGTGATGTGACCATCAAATTATATAGGACACAATAGGGGATGTAGAGGTGATGTGACCTACAAATTATATAGGACCACTGGCTTTAGCTCTCCTTACATAATTTAAAAAACGTCAATGAAGAGTGCTAATCATACCTGCCAACTCTCCCTATTTGGGAGGGAAACTCCCGTTTTTTTACCCTTAAAAAATAGTAGTTTCAACCAGAGAGTTGTGTAAACTATTCCTATATTATAAGATCTAATGATTTCATCTGAAAGAACAACTCAAAGTATGTCATTTTAAAGGGTTATTTTGTCTTTAGAGAGTATATACACACATTTTATTTATGCTTTTAATTTTGAGCATGCAGTATCTCCACATGGAAATTTCAAAAAGTTGGCAAGTATGTGTGTCGCTATATCAAAACTCGTTTACTAGTACAATGTATACTAAAACACTATATTCTAACTCCATTATCTATTTCAGTTCAAGGTCCATGCCAAATCTTACTACCCGTCCATCTGTGAAGTGCTAATGTTCGATCTGAAGCTAGAAATGAGATCCATCTTACGTAAATTCCTTCAGCGTATGGGTCCTGTGTTCAACATAACATCCAGTTAGTGATGAGCAGCTTACTCCAACTTCAATGAACACACTGCAGAGCCTCCTCCAGCTGGAGTAGTCCTGTATGGAATATCTCTGGAAACAACAATGTATTGGTGTTCTGACCTAGAGTTGTAATTAAATTTAGTTAATGAAGTTGCAACTCGAGAACGATTTTGTTGTTTAGAAATACAGGAAATATATGAAGCCAGAAGTAGAAGAATCTGAAGTAAGCCATGAAATGGTTAGCGGATTCCTGGGGTGTCATGTTTTAAAACATGATGTGTACCAGTATATATTTATTTGATGTGAAGTTTTAAGGAGAGTATTGTGAATATCATCTCTTCTGAACATATATTACTAGGGGCCTATTCCGTTTGAATCAACAGATTAACTTAAACCATAGCTGATTGATTCAGGAATAGGGACAGATCAGATGGTCTCATAAACATTTAAAGAACAATTTGACAAACAGTTTGCAGTGGTTTTTGTTGATCTGAATGGATTTTCTTCCACAATGGTTTTTGACTGCATCTGACTAGTTTTAGCCACACAATGCAGTTCTGATAATAGGTATACAAACTGTACAACAACACAGTAAATGAACTAGTGCAGTACCAAAGCACAGGCATGCACATGTTTACCTACTGGGGATAATCAAGAATGCGGTGTTAAAACCTGCTCCTGATATAGTGGTGAAATGTGGACCTTATCAGTGATGCAATGTGAGAAATTTTCAGGTGGGAGATTAAAAACTAGCCGTCAAAATTGTATGATGCATAAGATACTCATTTGATACATTATTCCAAAACCTATTACAATCTTGGAACTGCAAATATTTGTCTTGGAATTCTGCATAAAATGAGGTTCCTTACAGTTCAGGTGGCTATCTATTTTGAATATGAAAGTGTGACACTATAGAGATGGCAGGTGTATGTTGTATATACATGTACATATGATGTGCATTTTTGTGTTTTATGTAAGAATCTGAGAAAACATCTGTGACTTATGGAGGGTATTTAACAGCATGCATGAGAGTTTGAAAGTTGTTTGATGTTCTATTATCTCCAATAACCATTTGGTTTGATATTTGTACATGTAGTATGTGTTTTTATTCATATAACCGATATACTGAATTACAACAGGTCTGTACTAACATTCCCTTAGCAACAATCCGTCACCATTTCTGTTCCTCGGGACACGTCAATGAATCTCCTAATGATCCAGATGTAGACGGAGAGAGGATGGTGAAGTAAATTGTTAATATTCACATTTTCACAGGATTGGAAACCATTGATAATAACATTGCTTTCCACTTGATCTTGGACGTAATGGTATAAAGCAGAAGGTTTTGGTTTGTTATAGAACCTTCTCAACAGCAAATATTGGTTTCTGTGTAAAGGCAGTTTCATGTGCTAAGTGGCTTAGAGTCATTTCAAACTTCAATATTAAGAAGTTTTTTTCCTGTATGCTAAGGCCCTTTTTGTGTAATCGGTTCAACTGATTTGTCAGTTTTTAAATGTGACGTTTTCGGGTATAAATCTTGATGGACATGAAAATGGTTATGCAGGCCTGGCAAGGCTTTGTCAAGGCTTACCTGAAAGCAGCATCAGATTACTAGGTCCAACCATATTTCATAAACAAACAACTCTGGTCCAACCGGTTCAACTGGTTCAACTGTTTGGATTGCTATAAAAAGAAAACGGCCTAAGGCATTTCAAAAGGAAACATGTTTTTTATCTATAGGGTGTGTAAAATTTAAATTGAAAGTTGCGCTCTTTATTCATTAAATTGTGATTCTTCTGTGATGGTTGATAAAAAGATACTTTATGCTGTAAGTGAGAAATTGTATAATCCAATTATATTCAGCATTGGAGCAACAATTTTGTTCTTTCTGTTTTATTTTGGAAAAAATGATTTTACCAATATATTCTGGACTTCTTGTGTAGTCTCTTTTAAACTGGGATTCTAGTTATAAACTAATAAAACTGCCTTCAATATTTCATTTGAGCATTGAGGGATTTTTGTAAATTTTATTCCATTTTATATCCACATTATTTCACAATCTAGTCTTGTGATTTGGTTTTGCCAACACTTTATCTTTTGTGATACTTGTTTTTTAACAACAAAGTCATTAAGTCGCATACACTGAAGCAGGTGAAAATGAAGCAGTAAATAAATATTCATGTTTCTCCACCTTCCATAAATAATTGTGCCTACACAAAATTTTGCAATCACAACTGGCTCACCGTAAATAAGTTTGTTTCCCTGAGAAATATTTGCTATGAGGGTATTATATCACAGGATGTTTGTAAACTTTATATCCAGCTCCTGTTTGGATGGTACATTCCTTCAAAGTAGGATTTGTTTGTATTTCAGTTCTACATAATATGTTTTATACCGTAATTTGTGTACATGGGCATTTTTAGGTCACGTGAGCTTTAGGCCCATGGGCCTCTTGTTGAATAATAAGTGTACTCATTTGCAGCATCCTGAAAAATATAGAGGTAATTACTTCATTCTGAAAAGGTTGATTTTGGAAAAATAGTTTTTTAATAATAAACAATCAAAATTAAGGTAGAGTCCTAGCAGTCTGTGTTGAATCTCCAATGAAAAGAGTTCCATTTTCTTTTGCATTTTTCTGAGTTTGGATTGCTTACCCTTTTTCGGCAGCAATGTTCTATATACCTGGGGATAAAAAAGAAAAACATTTACTGTAATTTTCATTTTTGTACACAAAAAAACTATGCAAGAGGATTTCATAACAGGACCTGTCAATTAGAAAACAGAAAATTAATCAATCAGTTACATTACTGGAAATGAATTCAAAAACTTGAAACTTCCTAAAAAGGCCTGTAGCCTGTACCTGTAGTTATTTTGATATAGAAAAAATAACATTAATTTAACAGGAAGATAACTTTTCAGCAGGAAAGTGGTGGGACTCTCTACCTTAATGTTTGATCCAGTTTCTGTAGAGGTGATTTAGAGAATTGACATTGTCAGAGAGTGTCCCCGGTTAAAATTTAACATGTGCATAATTATGAAAACCCAAAGTGCAATAATATCTGATTGAATGTCCAGATACTAACTGACATCAAATGAAAAACCATTACATTTTCTGTTATATTTGGTTGGTTTTTATGTATAGTTCTGTTGCCTATTTGTGCCGTAGTTTGTACCAACACTGTTATTTAGAACAAACTTTTGTTTCTTATTGTTACTTAAATGGAATTGTCCGTCAGTCTCATGATAAACGTTTTTATTTTTAACATTTTTTTTTGTAGCTATTGGATTTTTTAATGTTTGACAAGGCTATAGTTTAAATGACATATTTGTATGTATTGTGTATCAGTTTTGAGAGTAATCATAAACTTGTGTAAATGTTAAAATCTTTATTATAGTTGTAAATTCTATTTAATCCCTAATAAAATGCTAAAGCTATTTATCTAAGATAATCTGTACAAAGTGTGTACATGCATTACCCTGTAACGGGTGTTTTGTTTGTATTGGTATGGACAAAATCAGACCTATTTCCTATCACTGCAGATTACTCAAATACAAGAATTGCTAACCCAGGAACATTCCACTATCAAGTGCTGGGGTTGTGTGTGTTTATAAAAATACTTTGTATAAGTGGGAAGCTTTATAATCGAATGTCTGGTGGGAATATTGCACTCAATGTCAAAAAGTTATGAAATGGTCGCTACTCTTTTCGTTTAAATCCTGTTAAACAGTTATTTGTAAAGATTATAATTGTAATTATATTTATAATAAGGTAATAATTATCTGTACTGTAAGTACTCTGAAGGCCTAATTGTCTTTACTGATCTTGTAAGTAGGAAATGTTTGACATGGTTCATTTTCACCTTTTTACATTTGAATATTTTGAAAGGCAATTTCGACATTGAAAAAAACTGCTTTGGTATAGTGGAAAAGTGAGTGAAAATAATACAATTCTGCAAAACAGAAAATGTTCATCCGTGTTTGAATGAGAAGATGAATTTAACATTGAGGTGAAAATATTACGTTACAGTATGCATAATTCAACATTAGGCAAATTTCTTCTAAGAGGCAGAATGGGGGAAATTAAAGCACGATGGAAATCTTAAAGGTTTTCCTGATAAAATACCTGAGGAATATGGTAAAAATATAGTTACATGATGTCAAAATAATCATCACTGGACATTGGTCAGTGTCCAGCCAACCAAATAATGGTCTTGAGGTAGCGAAAGCAGAAGGTGAAAGGGGGGTTACAGATATCACTTTCTATTTACATAAATAGTCACTTCAAATTTAAGAAGTGATTCAAGATTTGACAAAAAATGTGATAATGCATTTAATGTAGGATACTGGAATTAATGTACATGTAAACATCATATGAAGATTTATACATTGTATTAAAAGGTATACACTATATGAAAATGTGCAATGTATTATGATGATGCTTACATTGTATGAAAACATGTATGATAGTATATACATTGTAGGATAATATATTGATTGTACAGGAGAGCGTTGGATGGTGTTGTGTAATGCCATCTTGATTGGTGTACAGACAACATGTGATATTAAGCTATAATCTGTGAAAACAAGGGACTATTTTAATAAACAGTTAAAAACAATGCATTTATTTGGCTTATCAATGATATTTTTGATTCTCAAAAGACACTTGGAATATTATCAAAGGTTTAACTTCTGAATATTAGTATATCCACTGGAATATTATCAAAGGTTTAACTTCTGAAAACTAGTATATCCACTGGAATACTATCGAAGGTTTAACTTCTGAAAACTAGTATATCCACTGGAATATTATCAAAGGTTTTAACATCTGAATACTAGTATATCCACTGGAATATTATCAAAGGATTAACATCTAAATATTAGTATATCCACTGGAATACTATCAAAGGTTTAACTTCTGAATATTAGTATATCCACTGGAATACTATCAAAGGTTTAACTTCTGAATACTAGTATATCCACTGGAATACTATCAAAGGTTTAACTTCTGAATACTAGTATATCCACTGGAATACTATCAAAGGTTTAACTTCTGAATACTAGTATATCCACTGGAATACTATCAAAGGTTTAACTTCTGAATACTAGTATATCCACTGGAATACTATCAAAGGTTTAACTTCTGAATACTAGTATATCCACTGGAATACTATCAAAGGTTTAACTTCTGAATACTAGTATATCCACTGGAATACTATCAAAGGTTTAACTTCTGAATACTAGTATATCCACTGGAATACTATCAAAGGTTTAACTTCTGAATACTAGTATATCCACTGGAATACTATCAAAGGTTTAACTTCTGAATACTAGTATATCCACTGGAATACTATCAAAGGTTTAACTTCTGAATACTAGTATATCCACTGGAATACTATCAAAGGTTTAACTTCTGAATACTAGTATATCCACTGGAATACTATCAAAGGTTTAACTTCTGAATACTAGTATATCCACTGGAATACTATCAAAGGTTTAACTTCTGAATACTAGTATATCCACTGGAATACTATCAAAGGTTTAACTTCTGAATACTAGTATATCCACTGGAATACTATCAAAGGTTTAACTTCTGAATACTAGTATATCCACTGGAATACTATCAAAGGTTTAACTTCTGAATACTAGTATATCCACTGGAATACTATCAAAGGTTTAACTTCTGAATACTAGTATATCCACTGGAATACTATCAAAGGTTTAACTTCTGAATACTAGTATATCCACTGGAATACTATCAAAGGTTTAACTTCTGAATACTAGTATATCCACTGGAATACTATCAAAGGTTTAACTTCTGAATACTAGTATATCCACTGGAATACTATCAAAGGTTTAACTTCTGAATACTAGTATATCCACTGGAATACTATCAAAGGTTTAACTTCTGAATACTAGTATATCCACTGGAATATTATCAAAGGTTTAACATCTGAATACTAGTATATCCACTGGAATACTATCAAAGGTTTAACATCTGAATACTAGTATATCCACTGGAATACTATCAAAGGTTTAACTTCTGAATACTAGTATATCCACTGGAATACTATCAAAGGTTTAACTTCTGAATACTAGTATATCCACTGGAATACTATCAAAGGTTTAACTTCTGAATACTAGTATATCCACTGGAATACTATCAAAGGTTTAACTTCTGAATACTAGTATATCCACTGGAATACTATCAAAGGTTTAACTTCTGAATACTAGTATATCCACTGGAATACTATCAAAGGTTTAACTTCTGAATACTAGTATATCCACTGGAATACTATCAAAGGTTTAACTTCTGAATACTAGTATATCCACTGGAATATTATCAAAGGTTTAACATCTGAATACTAGTATATCCACTGGAATACTATCAAAGGTTTAACATCTGAATACTAGTATATCCACTGGAATACTATCAAAGGTTTAACTTCTGAATACTAGTATATCCACTGGAATACTATCAAAGGTTTAACTTCTGAATACTAGTATATCCACTGGAATACTATCAAAGGTTTAACTTCTGAATACTAGTATATCCACTGGAATACTATCAAAGGTTTAACTTCTGAATACTAGTATATCCACTGGAATACTATCAAAGGTTTAACTTCTGAATACTAGTATATCCACTGGAATACTATCAAAGGTTTAACTTCTGAATACTAGTATATCCACTGGAATACTATCAAAGGTTTAACTTCTGAATACTAGTATATCCACTGGAATATTATCAAAGGTTTAACATCTGAATACTAGTATATCCACTGGAATACTATCAAAGGTTTAACATCTGAATACTAGTATATCCACTGGAATACTATCAAAGGTTTAACATCTGAATACTAGTATATCCACTGGAATACTATCAAAGGTTTAACTTCTGAATACTAGTATATCCACTGGAATACTATCAAAGGTTTAACTTCTGAATACTAGTATATCCACTGGAATACTATCAAAGGTTTAACTTCTGAATACTAGTATATCCACTGGAATACTATCAAAGGTTTAACTTCTGAATACTAGTATATCCACTGGAATACTATCAAAGGTTTAACTTCTGAATACTAGTATATCCACTGGAATACTATCAAAGGTTTAACTTCTGAATACTAGTATATCCACTGGAATATTATCAAAGGTTTAACATCTGAATACTAGTATATCCACTGGAATACTATCAAAGGTTTTAACATCTGAATACTAGTATATCCACTGGAATACTATCAAAGGTTTAACTTCTGAATACTAGTATATCCACTGGAATACTATCAAAGGTTTAACTTCTGAATACTAGTATATCCACTGGAATATTATCAAAGGTTTAACATCTGAATACTAGTATATCCACTGGAATACTATCAAAGGTTTTAACATCTGAATACTAGTATATCCACTGGAATACTATCAAAGGTTTAACTTCTGAATACTAGTATATCCACTGGAATACTATCAAAGGTTTAACTTCTGAATACTAGTATATCCACTGGAATATTATCAAAGGTTTAACTTCTGAATACTAGTATATCCACTGGAATATTATCAAAGTTTTAACATCTGAATACAAGTATATCCACTGGAATACTATTAAAGGTTTTAACTTCTGAATACTAGTTTATCCACTGGAATACTATCAAAGGTTTAACTTCTGAATACTAGTATATCCACTGGAATATTATCAAAGGTTTAACATCTGAATACAAGTATATCCACTGGAATAAAATCGAAGGTCTTAACATCTGAATACAAGTATATCCACTGGAATACTATCAAAGGTTTTAACTTCTGAATACAAGTATATCCACTGGAATACAATCGAAGGTTTTAACATCTGAATACTGGTATATCCACTGGAATATTATCAAAGGTTTAACTTCTGAATACTAGTTTATCCACTGGAATATTATCAAAGGTTTTAACATCTGAATATTAAATTATTCACTGGACTTAAATCTTCAGTCACTAAAGGTCCTGCCTAATCCAGATAATTATCTCCTACCTTGGGTTCTATGCATGCCTTTTAGGGGCAACAGCTCTTAAATCATTTCATGTATGTTTATGAATCTTAACACTTATCAGGCTCGTGCCCTAGTTGTGCCTTTTGGATCGGGGAATTCTTATTTTAAGATCTTTCAATTGTAAAGTGTAATAATAATAATGTCGATTCATCTTTTCGCCATCTAATTAAGTCACAAATCTCATGTGGACATCTTGTTTATTCATGATGCTTCAGTTTTGCTTGCAATATTCTGCATTGTTTTAGTGTCAATTTCCATGTTATGTAAGTAGTTGTTAAGCTTCTATCTTTTCCATGGCGGGATTCTGGTAATAGTGAACTTTTTTTGTATTCGTTTAGGTGAATGTTTGTTATCACTAGTTCTCAGGAAGTTCTGTAGGCATCTTCTCAAATTTGATATGTAGGTTCCCCTTGGTCCTTTATTGTGCATGTTTAATTTTGAGACTAATCCGGTAAATATAACGACAGCCAACAGACAGCCATCTTGGATTTTGACAGTGTGAATGATTGTTATCGTTATATCTCAGGAAATACTGGAAGGATTTTTCTCAAATTTGAATTGTATCTTCCACTCGGTCTTTTATTGTGCATGTATACTTTTGGGAGTGATTGGATAAACAAAATGGCCGACAGGTGGCCATCTTGGATGTTGACAGATAAGGTTTGTTATCGCTATTTCTCAGGAAGTCATAGAAGATCTTTCCATTATTTGATATATAGGTTCCCTTGGTCTGTAGATGTGAATATATACTTTTGAGACTAATCGGATAAACAAAATGGCCAACAGACGGCCTTTTTGTATTTTGACAGTGAATATTTGTTATCGCCATTTCTCGGGAAGTAGTGGAAGGATATTTTTCAAATTTGATTTGTAAGTTCTCCTTGGTCCTTTATTGTACATCGTTCCTTTTTAAAGCTGTCATAAAAACAAGATTGCCACATGAAGAACGGAAGAGAAAAGATTGAAATGACAGAACTAATGAAGATGTTACAATGGTGGGCGGCAAGATCCCTCTGGAAACTCCAGTCTAAATTACTGTCTAGACTGATTTAATTTTGATTTATTTTCCAGAAGTTTTTCTTTAACAAGGGATTTTAGAATAACATAAAAATTGTCCAGCACAATTGATTGAGCACCAACATTGCTTGTTCCGTTATTATTCCTCGTTGAGGCTCATAATTCGACAGCATGATTATTTCGCTTTCAGGCCTTCAGTATTTCACAAGTAATTTGTCAAGCGCAATCCCTAAGGTTTTGGTTTCGAATACAATTCTTATGACAATTTCCAATATGTCTGGGTACCATATTTTAGTTGATCTAATAACCTATTCCATTGCTGAATCTGAACAATAAAAGATTGTACCCGAGCAAAAACCAATCGACGGATTAAGTCCTTGCTCCGTTCTGCCCTCGACTACCTAGGACACAAGACATATATTGACTAATGGCAGAAATTAAAATCCATTTGTTTGAAATCAGGTCATGATGCGACCACACCAAATCTCTGTCTACTAACTGATAATAAAGTGTATGTCCTCTCCCTGGCGGGATCACTCATGAAAGGCTGATGAGTTTGATTGGAATCCAGTGTGGTCCTGAAGATTTGTGTTAGAATGGGTGCTATATTGTCTCCACACTCTTTTAGAACACAATTAGGAATATCATCTGGGCCTGACGCTTTAGAAGGATTAAGGTTTCTTAAGAGTTTTGCTACTTCTTCTTGCTTGATATTTAGATCAGAATGTTTTGTGTTTATACGTGTTTTTGGCGTGGTGTTGGTGTTACTACGAGTGAAAACGGATGAGAACACTGGTTCAGTAAGATTTGTGCTTTCCTTTCCCGTCACTGATAAGTGTGCCTAGCTGTGACTTTAGATCTGCCACTCCTATGCTATCCTTTATCCTTGGCTTTATGTATTTCCAGAATGTGTTTGAGTTGTTTTGATCAAGCCATCTTGTATAACATCGGTTACATAATCGTTTTCTGCTTTCCAGATTTCTAGTTTGCTGTCATCTTTGAAAGTTCTGATAGTTTCTCCACTTTCCTGTCTTTTTGGCTTGGTTGTAATTGTTTTGTTGTTTCTTCAGCATTTCACATTTTCTTTTGCTGAACCATAGTAGATTGTTGTTGGATTTTACAGTTCGAGTTTGTATGTTTGAGTTTAGTGAGTCAAGTGGATTATTTTGAATTTCAGCCAGCATTCTTCTGCTCCTATTTTGTTCTCAACCATGGTATTAATGACATGGCTAAGGCTGTCAATTTCCATTTTTATTTCCTCCCAATTTGCTCTTCTCCAGACGTACGATTTCCTGTTTTCTGCGAATTTGTTTTCGTGCTACTGTCTGTAGCAATAATGTCATGGTCAGAGATACCTGGTATGTTATTTCACGCCTTTTAACCATGACTTGCTTCAAATTACAATGTCTGATGATTTGAATTGGATACTTCTACAATAATCAGTATCAACGCGCAAGTTTTGTTTCGGTGGTAATTGTTTGGCAAGTCCTGATACTTTTCCTTGTGTTAAGCTGGATGAAATGTTAAGAGTGTCTGTAAGCATTGCTATCATTTTATCAGTTATGTCCTCCTTGTTGGGGATCATACTTGACCATTATCAATTGACGTAGTGCTGCATCACGTCCTCTGGTGTCTCCAAACTCATGGCAACACAGAAAAGACATGAACACCGAATACGGCAGTGAAGGAATGAACAGACTGAAAACTCTCGATACCTCTGGTTGTAGTTGAGGAAGGCAGATGTGATTGTCCTTAAAATAGAGGCAGTATCCTTGATAACAGTGAGCATGTGTATGCGTAAATATTTGTGTTTGTGATACGCGGGTTTCATCGTCAATGTCAAATGTTTTCAATTACATAACGCCTCTGCATATTTCGAGAGATTTTTGGTAGTTTCCCGTCTTGAAATGAAATGTTGCCTAATCCAACATGTACCAAATGAAGACACTGGTATTAGCACATGTTTACATATCCTCATGCTTTTGTACCTGGCCTTCTTTCTTGTATGTAATTTGTGGTCTGTATAAAGGTCTGTTGCCAACGTTGAGAGTCTGCACACCGTATTGAAATATGAGATAACTTCGTCAACTTATGAGTCGGATTTTGACAGTAAAGCCACTGAACCAATTAATATATCTTCATGCAAAATAAAATTTCGACATAATTTTAACTTTTTCAATATATCCTGTTCGTGTTCAATATAATATTTTAAAGGTTTGGGACCTTTCAAATTTAGTTTGTACATCAGCACGGCCAAAATATTCTATGATCATCGATGGCACAAAAAAATGTTCCTGCCGATAAACACATTTCATTTGATGATATTGATCTAAATTACGAAGCAGCATTCGTGTATTTTCCACAGCGAAAAATGTCACTGTTTTCATGATCTAAGAACACAGAATGTCTCTATCTCCGATCGTTTTCTCAAGTGAATCTTTAATTTGTGTCAGGAAATATTTGGCAAACAGTATACATGAAATTGTATATGAGTGAGCGAGTGAACTAGACGTCTCATAATCCATTTTGTGGTGGGTTTTTTACCTTAACGAACAAGAATTAAGACTGAATGCACTTCCTGCATGTATGTTAACAAAGCTACTTCCTAACTGTGGTAAATATACAGTTGGTAGCTGAAATATTTCATATCCGCTATTTTGATGTTATAAACACGCACTGCGATTAGAACATGGAAAAAACGAATTCAGAAATAAACATTGAAGATTACACGAGCAATCTATCCACTGCACCAATTCTGTCACGGTTAAATTTTATGTTTTCACTCACATTTGAGCAACTCAAACCCCGTCCTTTACTTTCTAGAAGCATTTAAAATAAGACGAGAAGGCAAATATGACATATACACAACGTTTATTACCAAGTAACCAGAGAACGTTATTACAGTGGATTATCCAAATATCATGACAAATAGGCAAAATAACTTATTGTGATAAGTGATCAGCTGTATGTCCTCTTCACAGCCTCCCTTAAATACAACATCAAAACCACAACTACATGTTTTACCTCTTCTGTCTGAACACATGAAATAAACTTAAAAACTTTGCATGTAGATCATTATTGCGCCCTTGCAATACACGAACTAGTATTATCATCATAAATATCGGCAGTTGTGCACCACAGTACACAAGTCGAGACAGCCCTCCAAAACTAAAGCAAATATAATAAGGACCCTGCATTCGGCCTCTCTGAGCCATCACATGATACCGTTGAGCAATAGAAGCAGTTTGGAGAAACCTTTCTTTTGCCAGTTAAGTCCATATTGGAGCACTTTTGATTTCGCCCTTCAATTTTAGATACTATGTAAATTAACTTCTTTACTAATATTTCCTGTGTGATGAATTCGCGTTCAGGAGAGCGAAAAAGGCGACCGTTTGACCGCAGCGAAAATTCAGCATTGAATTAAAGTGTTTTTGATTTAATAAAGACATCTCACGTTATATGTAAATACAAAAATGAGTTAAATACTTCTCGTCACAATGTGAAACCTGCACTGAAAGGCGTCCCAAAAAGACAACAACAGCACCTACCAATAACACACCAAAACAAAAAGGAAAACATCGTGAATGCAAACAGAAAAAAAAGTTGAACACTGGTTCAACGTTGTATTCCGATAGCGACGTTGGCAAACAGAATACAACGCCAAGAAATAAATGATGGACGTTATATTCACAAATAGGAAATTTCAGAGTGAAGTTTAGATAATTGTTTGCTGATAAGTTGTCATTAATATTCAGGTCTAAATTTATCCTGAGATATAGAACCTAACCACTGTTGGATCGCAAAGCCTCGATCCTCTCCATGGCAGGATTCAACTCATGAAACAGTGTTTTTGTTTGATAAGATTCCAAATAAGCTGTGATTGCTCTGTGGTTGTCCCCTAACGTTTCGTAACAGATCCCTAGGAGTGTGTGTACTATCCAGTGTTTGTGTCCTCCTTGTAGTTCATCATACTTGACCATTATCAGGCGACGTAGTACTGCTTCACGTCCTCTAATGTCTCCGAGTTCATGGCAACACAGAAAACACAGAAACACCGCATACGGCAATGAAGGAATGTACAGGCCGCGACTGCATTTTGATAACTCTGGTTGAAACTGAGAAAGGCAGAAGGGGTTGTCTTTGAAAAATAGATGGTATGTGAATATTTTCTTCAGCTTGTCTATTGAAGAGTATCCTTGTCCACAATATGCATGTACATGTGATGCTTGTCGTTCTGGTGGTACACGAGTTTCATCGTCAATGCCAAACGTTTTCAATAGCATTACCCCATTGCAGATCTGTATCGCTTTCCTGTAGTTTCCTGTTTTAAAGTGAAAGGTTGCCAAATACAACACCTCTGTGCCAAACAGTGACCCTGGTATCAGCCAGTGTTTACATTTCGTCATGCTCTTGTACCTGGCCTTGTTTCCAATAGGTACACTGCAGTCCGGATAGACTCCTGTTGCTAACGTTGAGAGTGTACACACTGTACTGTAGTAAGTTATCAATTCGTCGACTTCTGACTGGGATTTCAACAATAAAGCAACCGGACTGATGATGGTATTTCTATACAAGAACAGCCTTCGGCACCATTTTAACCCATCCAGAATTTCCATGTCGTTATCATGTTCAAGTTTTTGCTGAGTTTGGGGTCTTTCAAGTTCAGCTTGTACACCAGAATAGCTCAGGTATTCCATTATCGACGGATTAAAACATGTTCCAACCGATAAACACATCCATTTCAGTTGATGGCATTGATCAAGAATGCGAAGCAACTTTCGTTGATTTTGTCCATAAACTTTCTTCTTGAACATGTTGTTTGATATAACGAAGTAGTTCGGACAATAACCCGACTTGACCCATGTCATTAGGATGTTGAAGCAATACTAAAAACAGTAAAATAGGTTTTTCTCCTGCCAGAACGTCTGATGTGTGCTTTCCACAGCGAAAAATATCACTGTTTTCATGAAATAAGAACACAGAATGTCTCGATCTCCAATCGTCTTCTCTAATGAATCGTGAATCTGTTTCAAGAAATATTTTTACAAGCTGTATACTTGAAATTGGATGTGAGTGAGCGAGTGAACCAAACGTCTCTCTGCCGTTACAAGTGATATCCTCCACTGTAACAAGGTGTCCTCGGAACACGTGTCCCCTATTGGTACAAGATGGCAGCCGGTGTGAACGATTTTGTCTACCAGTGCCTGTGGTGGCCAACCATGCATTCGTGTACGATGTATCCATTCATTGGCCCCTCTAGGAAAGGTATAACTTGCAAAGCTATATACATGATCGGTTGAAAAAGGCATTTCACTCAGTATGCTGCTAGGCCCATGGGATTCCGCTTTCATTCCTGTTGTTTCAGAGATATTCTTGACACTTCGTTCTCTGTAGATGTCACTAGAAACATAAAGTACATCTCTAACAGAAACAAGCGAATTTGACAACTTTTCGGTAACGGTTTCACCGAAATGACCTAATTGTAAAGTTGCATAGCCAGGTCTGCAACCAGCCTCCCTCATGTACAGAACAGTCTTGTGTACATAATTGCTGGGAATGCTCTGCCCTTGGTATAATACAACAACATTCTTGTCTGTTCGCAAGATATCAAGATCTGAACCTTCCATGACAATTCCTTCAGGTTGACTTCCGCAATAGGTTAAATCTTCAAAGCTGTTACTGGAATTTTCAATGCATTCCTGTATCGGCCATATCCTCCGCTTTATGTTTACCGACTCTCGCGTGCCTGTAACTTTCCTGTCTAGCAGCCTGGAGAGAAGCACTGACAACCTCTCACCTTCTCCCGCGTCTCCCACGGCTGCCATTACTACAGCTACAGTCTCTGTAATGGAATTTTACGAACGACGCATTATTTGTGGGCACACCTTACACTACGTAAACCTATTGCGGCACCCAATGGTATTAGTTTAAATACACTTGTTCGTTGTAAAAAGGATGGTTAACTACCTTGTATACGTATTTCCCGTCTGTCTCATACAGTAACGCTTGTGCTATATTTAGATGTGACGTTCATTCGTTACGTTGTAATCTAAAAATAAATAGCGCTAGGTAATGATAACAAACACTCGTATATTCACCAAGTCACTTAGGACGATCAGAGTACGACACTAGGGCCTAATTAGTCGAAGAATGATGAGCTTAATTATTGGCTCGTTAAGTTTTTTTCTGGTGCTATTTTTTTTAGAAAAAATATTTTTTTTAAATACAAACTTGTTTTGTAAATTCTTTATTTTCATTAGTTTTTATTTTAGTATTAGGATAGCTAATTATTTTGAATCAGTAAGATATACCTATACATGCTTTATTATTTAATTTATTAGTTTTGAAAACAAGCAGACTATATGACGTATCTCCATTAAGTTGGTGTTAAACTTACCATGCTTTCCAACAGATTGTTAGAGTTAGATATGTTATCTTATCTTTCAACATATTTATCTTCCCCCTTGAGTGTCGAGGATGTTATACTACAGACTTGGCAAGATTCAAGTTTCATGGGATACAGAATGCATGCTGTCATTACAACTAAAAAATGTTAATGGGATATCTACACGGGAAAGCCCACTATATCTAATTAAGGTTCTCGATGGTAACTTCATATTAAATGGTTTGTACAACATATTTATTTCTTATCTTCACCATTCCGAAAATTCAGAGAACTGATGCAAATGTTGACAAAATAAACAATGGCCAACCTATAAATAGCAATAGTGACCTTGACGTTGACATTGGGCCCCTAAAATATGAACTCCACAAGTGTATATTTGAGTAGTGAACTTATGATTTTTCTTGTGGGACTCACCCATATTTTGAGGACCCTCTATGTATCTTAGTAATGGGACCAATTTATAATTTGAAAATGATGGTCGGGACTTGTCGGGAAAATAATCCTACAAAGATCACTGGCTAGAAATTATGATGAAAAGCCGAGAAAAGTGAATCGCGACGGGACAGGACGGAACAGGAAGTGTACCAACTATATACGCATAATTGTCCTGGGGGTTTGTTGAACAGCAGTGCTTCTTTGCCAAAAGGTTTAATGGGACATATTCTAGGATAGTTCATGATTCGAACCCTGGTCTGGCCTCACATTTTTTTACGATGTTTTGTTGTTGTTTTTTTCATCAAAGTCACGCAAAATCTTATTTTCTATTCAGAAATTATTTATCAATGCTATAGTTATGCCGGTAGAAGAGTTATAAAGGCATAGTTACAATTTTTGGCAGTGTACGGGGATTCCTAAGACATCTCAACAGATTAAATATCGCTAACAATTTAATTGTGTAAGTCCAAGATCTCTCTTTCTTCAAAATGCTTTTGGAAGTAATATTATAGATGAATGTTGTTGTTTTTTTCTTCTCTTACGGAAATATAATTGGCACATGTTTTCCCATATGACTATGATATCATGGCAATTTCTTTTCAAATTAAATGTCCATACCTGATCGTCCATATGTTCTTGGTACAACCACGGAATTAGATTATCTAAGTCTGTGGTACAACCTAGTTCGAAAAGGTATTGACTTTTCTTTCCTTAATTGTTTTAATGAAAAATGCATGTTTCACACATAAATAATTGAGAGAGGGCCTACTTTAAAACCGAATCGTTATGTTTTTATTGAATCACTTAATGATTAATGTTGGTTCATCAAATGCTCTGCTGATTGAGATATCGACAACGGGCGGAGTATAGATATAAGCTATAGGGGGTAGGGGTTCCTGCAGAAGGATTTCTGTGTGATCACCGGCATTCCCTGTTTAATTGTGTAGGTCATTTAATTAGGGTTTATCGTATTGATATTGTATTTTTATTGGAAATATCAGTTTGTATATATGTTAAGTTGTTTTAAATAGTAACGTCTTATACTACTACTATTTACTTCACCGTTACTTAACTTTGTTAACGTAAACCACGGAATTAGATTTGTTATCTAAGTCCTGTTAACGTAAACCACGGAATTAGATTTGTTATCTAAGTCCGTGCGTAAACAGAGCTTTAATTCTTCGTCATCATAGAACAAAATATGATATTTCACCTTTTTCTTCATCTTCGTCTATATCCCAAGTTGATAGAAAATAGACTTTATGCAAATATCATTATTAATTATATGTTAGAAAAATATCATAGAAACGGTATTATTTACGCTATTGCTAATTTACGACGGAATATTAACCACGTCTTTCTCTTTCCGTTTTAGACAGAACACTATCACGTGACCAATAGAGTGCGGGAACTTCAAGTCGAAAATGGCATCCAAAGTTGGACAAAAACACCAAGAAAATATCCAAATGGCTGCATTCAGAGGGAAAAACTCGTCGGAAGATGGACTCACCAGACTTGTAATACATTTGTGTTTCTTAAGATTGATTTTAATGATTGGCAGTCTTTATAAATTCATGTAGATAGCATAAAAACAAACTTCGAGCAGCACAGATCTTTATGAGGACGAGCTTTAGTGCATGAAGTGGGACGCAACCTGAAGTAGACTAACACAGTGATTAAGCTAAGATTTGGCTTTGGGAGATAACAAAAGCTTTAGTCAAATAATTTTAAAAAATGATCAGGATACACGTGTAATACAACAATCTATAAACTGAATACATTTCCAACACCTTTTGTTTACGCCTACGGTCGTAATATTGATTTCATTCTTTCCTATTTTCATGTTTTACATTAACAGGTTGGACACAACGGCGCATACGGGTAATAATCCTGCAGTTGGGTAACAGTTACCCATTTGAGTAACAGTTTTATTACTGAAATGGGGAATAATGTGAAGTGAAAACACATGAAGTTCACATAAACACTGGAACAAAAACAGAAAAATAATAGACAAAATAAAATTGTTAATGAATTTGGTACAGTAGCCTACTGAGTAGTGGGTAGGACCTAACTGTTACCCAAATGTAGGATTACTACCCAAATATGCCCAACCTGATAAACTAGCAACAATATCTTATTCTCTGTATTTGTTAACTAATGTTGGTTCCTCGTCCCCTTCAGACACTCAACCGCCAATTGAAGGAAAATCCACCATTGTAATGGTTTATATAAAAGCAATGAGCATTTTCCAAAATGAAGAACAATTTCAATTTCTTCAATTTCCATATTTCAATATGTACGATTGCAAATATTAGTCGTTTAATTTGAACATATCCCAGGAAATGGTACGATGCAAGAATAGTGATATCTATCACTTTAAGCATGGAAATTATCTGTCCAGATGAATATTTAAATTAATCAATATAATAAATTGAACACTAACAAATTTATCAGAAGGTGACAAAACTTTCTTGAAATGAAAAAAAAATTTTGAATCCTGTCAATTATTTATATAAATTAACTTGTATGGTGTGTAGTGTTCCATTTTGGGTACCCTCACGATAGAGATACAGGATGGTGATGTCTGGATGCCTCTTGTTTTGGTAGATATAAAGTAATATCAAGTAGAGAAATCCATTCAAGTGTGAGATATATTGTAATTGTTTATTAAATATATATACAATGTTAACACACTGAGTGTTTTGGATATCAATGATGTTTTCCTAAAGTCTCTTGCTTTTATCATAGTTGAAAGTAGCCCAGGTTTCTGCTGGCACTTACACCAGACTGACATTTTGACATATAGATGTCTGGTGGTTCCAAATCAGCTCTTATTATCAGCAACAGCTGCTTAATTCTGTAAATAGACTTCCCTGTTTTCAATTGTTCAAAATTTCCCACCAGAGCGAACACCATTTTGTAGTTCATTATGCGTGACTAATCAACAAATCGTACTGATTCGGTCCCGAAAACGGAATACATGATTCTTATTCAGTTGATACAGTGTCAGAGTATTCCACGTTTTCATATAGGAATGCTCTTTGGCCCCACACTAGACATTTATATGTCAAAATGTTTTAAGTCTGGTGTTTGGGCCAGAGGAAACTCGGGCTAAGTTAAAAGTTGATAGCTTCAAGATTTGATTTCAATACAGTGACAAGTAGGGACTTTTTTTCATTTAACAGGAGTAAGACAATGTTCAGCTACTATTCTAAAATAACCATATTTACAGGCACCATCAGATGGCAGAAAAACACTGCAGACATTACAGTACTCGGCTGTAAAAGATAGGAAAAGTCTAGGAAAAGATGCTCTTCTGAATGCACAGGTATGTAAGTTCCATGAAAAGGTAAGTATCAAAGCAAGGGAGGAGTTTGGTCATCTGTCCAGATATATGGCCCTCAAAATTGTTTGATACATAGAAGATCTTGTACCGTATAAGTTTTATTGATAGTTTGAAATGTAAAATCTCGAGAAGGCCTGCATGTACTGTATAAGGAATGCTGGACTGGTTTTCATACAGACGGTAGTTAGGTTTCGGGGATAGTCGATATATATGCAACCTTCATGTCCAGCGTAGTCTATATCAAAATAGTGTCGGTTAGGGATGAGAATAAAGAGCAGTAAACATATGGAGACAGAAGTATACATGTTAATAATTCTAATAATTCTGTTTTTGTTTAAATATATTTCAATCGCATGAATAATACTCAAACCTCACAAGAGATACAACAGTAGATCAGTCACCTTTTTCCCAAAACAGAGTCTAATTGGGTGAGGAATGTTTTGAAAATAGTACATAGCTACCAGGCCAACAAAGATAAAGGGTCACCTGAAGGCCTGTAAAGGAGGACAATTTCAGGGTTAAGTTATTGTTGATCAAAGTCGATACCTATGCCACAAGGGGTATTCATTGGGGGTATCTTCAAAATATCAAAATAATGGATAATAATCACAATTGTAAGTTAGGGCTATTCCAGAATTGAATGTGTAGGGAGACGGGTTGGCAAGCAATTTAAATTTGTATGCAGTTGGTTGCAAAACCATTTTCTAATTGATGCATGCTTTGTCAATTATAGAATTCTAATTTCTGGGTGGTATTGAAAGCTTAGCTTGATTTAGAACAATCCATCTACTGGTCTGTGCTTCAAACACTTATTTTTCTCACTAAAACAATGAAGCAGTAACTTTGAGACTTAAATATTTCCAAAATACATGCATGTATTCTATCAACCAACTTGAAGGATTAATTTTGGAAATTATAAGGTGATAGTTAATGACCACTAATCACTGAACTGTTGGGATATTTGGAGATCTTGCAGCAGTAGAGAGTGACACATGATCAGTGGTGTTAACTTCCAAGTTTCATCCTCCCGATATGATTCACATGACTATAGTTTTGATAAACCATTTCTGAAAGAAGTTCTTGCAGGACTTTTATGAAAAATGATAAAGATGAAATAAACTGATATAACCAACAGTGTTCTGAGTGAAAAAAACCAGGTCTAGACCAAGATTCGAAATATGAATCTCTGAGCCACCTGGTCAATGGAAGTATCCTAACCCAACTGTACTATATTTTAAAGCCTAAACAAAATTAAGGGGAGGTTACTGTATATAAAAATAGGACAGTGCATGGACAAGTGTCAGACACTCGCAGAGATCCTTGAATGACAGATGTTTGTAATGAATAAGCTTAATAGGCATCAGCATACAAGCAAGAGTATATATTTGCTGAAAATTACAAGTTTTAAACAAATAGCATTTTTATTATTTTGCAATGAAACAAAAAATACATTGTCAGCATTTATATGGAAATTTGCTGACAATTCTGCATGTTTATCAATATTGATATTAATTAACTGCTCTTTGTAAAAAAAAAAAACACTACTAGAATTATGTTAGTTTACAATCCAGTTTTGCTTGTAGTTTTTTTGCCACTAACTATAATATGCTATTGATTAAAAAAAAATCAATCCAAGAATAATACCTATCGATGCTGGAAACTATTTAGTACATCAAATAAAAGCAGCATAGTGAAATGAATGTTAATATAAATGTGGAGTACAAATTGTTTTGCTAGCAGCATGATAAAAAACATAGCATCATATTATGCTGCAAAAATGACACTGGACAATATGGTACAGTCGAACCTCGTTATCTCGAACTCGTATAACTCGAAGACCTCGTTTAACTTGAAGTATTTCATCGGTCCCGGCCAAAACTCTTCTTAATCTTACTAATAAAAACTCTGATAATTCGAACTCTGAAAACTCAAAAAACTAGGATATCCCGAAGTGAAACATCGGTCCCAACAACGTAAATCCTACATAAAAATATCTCCTACCTCGAAGGCTCTTAAGATTCACAAGTCTATCATATATTCTTTAATTATTTGATACATATTAGACGCAGCGCTACGGTAAACATCGTTCTCATAGAGCAGCTTACGCTCGGTCATAATTACTTCAAATAAACTTATGGCATTAAAATGTGTTTGACTGTAAAAAACTTTGTACAAATAGAGAAACAAACTTTTATCACTGTTGATTAACAACAATTAGTACTTACTGCGAGCCCGTAAACAATTTGAAAAGCACTTTATTTAAACCAAAGCTGCCGACACATTCTAACCGGAAAATGGGTCACAGTGTGCGGTCATGTGTAAATAAGCTCCACAGTAAAAATGACAACCTAGGACTGGTTCGTTGGTTTTTGTTTTTACAGGAGCTTGTATGGCATTGATAATTAATTGAGAGATTATAGGAACAATACGATAATTATTGTTGACTTCGTCGTGTTGAGGAGATGTCAAGTGTCAGTGGGGTCTATAAATGTGGATATGTTTCCTGATTAACTCATACCCATTTCGGAATGTCGAAATCAACTGAGCAATCCAACGTGTACGCTCCAATACAGTGATTTGTATAAAGACTTGCGCACTTTCATTTCCGCATTGAAATTCTATCAGCATAGCACGAGGTCGAAGACAGCATGTGTGTTTATTGTAATATTAATTAATTAATGAATATGATTATGAATAAGATGTATATTTTTTATTCTATATAGTTATCTTTTTGTCATTTATCGACTGTTTAAATACGTTGATTGCCAGAGAAATCAATGACATATATAGCCTCATATTGGAACTTTACCAAGCTTTATGCCAAACATAGGAACTCGCTTAACTCGAATACTCGGATAACTCGAAGTTTCCCAGCGATCCCGTCGACTTCGACATAACGAGGTTCAACTGTATGTGTATCTATATATCCAGTGAAATTCAGAACAGCCGACTAGTAAACAAATTTGAAAAGAAATCTGTCGCTGTCTCACTGTATGGGAAATTGTGTTTCAGAAAGAAAAGAGTGGAAAAGACACCATTCAGATTTATGCTGATCCTAAAACACCAGACATCAAGAGCAAGACTTTCGATGACAAAGCAGTTCAGACCGAGAAAAAGTCCAAATCAGAGGAAGACATCGACCAGGAGGCTTATGATTTAATGGTCAATGGTAGGAAATTGACTGCTATAATAGACAAGATGTGTAATTTTGGCTACGTTTGCCACAACACAGATCAACACAAAAGATTTTTGCCTGTCTTGGCAACATGTATTTGAATGTGACATCTGTCCATTAGCATTTATCTTCGATAACTACTTTCTCACTCGATTCTTCATTTTTGACCCCACCTCCTCACACAGACATATGAATAAGGTCTTGTATTAGAGCACACAGAGGCCACATGATCCTTTGGCCCTTGTGTACCCCAAGAGTTTTAGAATGATGAAGCTTTTTATTAGACACACAAACAAAAAAGAATGTGAAAAGTTGAAAAAGAAGAGGACTTTCTGAATAAGACAGTCAGAGGTCTCGGATCACAAAAATACTAGCAGACCTAGCCAAAAATATGGTTAAAAAAAGTCTTGTCTGACCTACACAATCCCAATTTGTCAAAAATATGATTATTTTGATGTCAAGCCCACGTTGACTGAAACATGCCATTTTTCGTGCTAATTCATGATTAAAGTAGTTATTTAAATCTTGTACATAATGTTTTCTTTGAACTTTTTTTATTGACCTTTACAATGTGGGTGGCCCTACAGATTTTTGTTAGCCTCTTATATATGTTGAATATTAATTTTCAAGATATTATATGGTATTGGTGCTAATTTTTCAATATCCAGTCGAGGAAAGGCAAGGAAGGCCAACAGCTCATACCTTGCCTTACACAATTTGTCAAGTTATCAAACATTAAACTTCACATTCATTTAGTGCTGTCAAAATAAGTGTTCTTTGAATTAAGATAGATAAATGTTGTAAACCACTATGTTTTTGTTCAAATATCATCTTCATCTGTGAAATGATAAATTTGTTTCTTTCAGAGGATATTCCTGAAAACTACTGGCGAGACCTAGCTGAACGCAGGAGAGAAGCACTGAATGAGTCATTAAATGAAAACGAACAGGTTTGGGTTTTTTTGTTTTTGTTTTTTTCAAATCACGATTCATTTAATGCTTTTCCCCTACAACCACTATAGGTTTCCTCACTCCCTCCTACAACCACTATAGGTTTCCTCACTCTCTGGTTTACCCACTAGTGGGTAACACACTGAACATGATTTCATTTGTCAATCTTCTAATTCTGATGTCAAATAATAATGCTTTGCAATGTCATCTTCCATTGTGGCATCATGGTAATAATGTATTTCCAAGAAAAGCATACAGATTTCTAGACATAATCTGAACACAGTTTGAGAAAAAAAATCCCAGATCTCTTGTTGGTTGATTGCCATCTAACTCTTGTTAGTTAATTTTCAAATTGTAAAAGACACTCAGTAGATATAGGGTCTTAGAGAAGGATATAAAAGCATATTAAAATAATATCAATCTGGACATTTTTAAGTGTGGAAGAGAAATTCTCATGTGACCTTTTATCTGTGTCATCACATTTTCGATAACTTCAAAAACAAAAAAATCATTTTGAGAAAACTGTAGGAAGCTAAGGTGCAAGACAAACCTAAATTGTGAAATTCATGTGGATCCCATCCCCCAGGGGCTTGAAGGATGGGCCAAAAGAAGGAAAATTGACTAAAATTTCTGCAGTCTTTTGACCCGGTTATGCTAGAATCAATTCTCTTCTTGGATCAAACATTTAAATTCCTTTATTTATCTTTGTCACATTATAACAACTGGGTATAACACAGGTGACCATTGATGCTTATGCCTGTGGACCTCTTATTCAACTTAATATCAATATATAGCACAACATAAACAGTGATTATTTTTGGATGCGCCCCTGCTGTATTCCCATAGAAAATTTAGGTCTGGCCCCTATTTCAATGTCTATTTGGCACATGTATATGAACGGTCCTGTTTAACTAAGCAGCACAAGTGGGAAAAAGCAAGTCTAAACCGAATGCATCGAAAAAAAAATCATCAAACAACATGGGAAACTTCTAAATACAGCTGTATTTGACAGCACTGTTTTCAAAACCAGGACAATGAAGAGAGCCCCTTACAACTATAACGATTGTTTATAATTATACAAATTAACAACGGAGGATGTTTTTAAGCATGTGTGTTTCTTATTTGATTTTAGAAAATCATATTGACAAAGTCAGACAGTTAAATTACACGAGATGAATAATATTAATTTTGAAAATCTTTTAAAAAATGAAAGATGAACAGTTATTTATTATTGGATTTTCTTAACGTATAACTATATTTTTGGATGTTCACAAACATCAGCAGAGCAATTCACATTAATTAAACACACATTGTAAATATGTGTAAATATATAAAGCTTCAAAGACAAAGGTGAACGATGGAGCAGTCAGAGTTTGTAGGTAAATTTATCAGTATTTTCATGGAATTAGATTAGTCTAAGTCTACTATTATAACTTTAATTAAATTAAACATTACCTTGAGATTAAAACAATTTTTTGTTTTATAAATATGTAATATCAATTGCCTCACTTTACGTACAAAAGGCCGGAACTTTTTTTTTTGTATACTTTATATAATAGGGCCAAAGTGCCCTAATAATCAACAAAGCAAGAATAATCACTGCATACATATGTACATGTTTGGTGATAGAGCTCCTGTCTGTCTCTCATTTGAATGTCTTTCTGGCTTGTAATTACCGGTTTGTTAGATTGGTTTTCTGATAAACTGTAAAAAAAATCACAAATCCCTTGTTAGACAAACATGTTCTTAACTTGTGATAATGCTACTGTTTTCTCTATCAGCTTCACAATGAGGTAGATGAGCTTCGGAATGAAAATGAAAAACTGACAAATATGGCAAGCCAAGCAGAATATTTTGCAGGTGTAATCCAAGTAAGTGATCAATCTTGAATTCATGATTTTTTGTTAAATTGATCAGTTCTGATGAAAAGGAAATTGTCAATAACACACTGACTTCATTAACAGTTAACATTTATGGTCGGATTGATCGAGTGGTTAACACTCCGGCATTCCACGCAGGCTCCGGGATCGATCCCCGAAGTCTTCATACGCATGAATATTCAGAGAAAGTGTTTTTCTTCTGCCCACACAACTCCATCAATCGAGGTGGAGTATAAATTGGTCTGGGGTGGATGTTGCGGTATCTGTGCTGTAGCATTCAATTGAGGTGGCTCTATAAATGATGCCGTTGGAAGCGCGGTCCCACTACAAACAAGACATTACATCTCCAGCACTTACACAGGCTTACACACATAGGGAGATATTAGCCAGGTGGCATAGGACTAGTAGTTAGTGCCTGATAAGGCAGCTCCTGCGAATTCCTCAATTTTTTTATTGATTAATTAATGTACATGCTAATTGTATTAGTTGTATATCTATGTACTGTAAAGCGCTTTAGAGTGACTTATGTTTGCTAGATAGGGCGCTATATCAAATGTTGTATATTTATGGTTCAAGCTGAACAAGCTAGATTGGCAAAAATATTTAAATGTTGGTTTAGAGTATCATAGACGAAAGGAATAGAGTAGGTATGTCTATTTTGTAACCATTGTCCATACTGTCCTATCAGATTGAATTGTACCACAATTCATTGTCACAAATCTACTGGCTTCATTCCTTGACAGCTTTCCATCAAAGTTTGCATAAAAATCTAGAATGAAAATACCTCAGATGAGGTTGTGTTTCAGAATCCCAAGTATGACGCAATCTTTGCTATTTTCTCAACAGATTCATTGTCATCAGTCAACCGACTTCATTCCTTAGAAGATTTTCATCATACTTCAACATCAAGTATATAATACCTCAGATTAATTTGTAATTCAGGTTCCCAATGTTGATGCCAAGGCCATTGTTATTATTGACACAAAATTGTTGAGCAACAAAAACTAATTTTGCATGGTGCATTCATGTCTAACACATAGCTAATGTATTTTATATATCATGATGTGAAAAATATTTTCTCTTGCTTTTGTTAAAGGAATTGGTTGGTGTTAGTGAAGAGAGTGAAGATAAATCAGATGACCAGGAGGAGGAGGAGGAGCAAGACAGCTGTGATAAAGACAAAGAAAGTGAAAATAATGATACAAAAGACACAAAACCAGACGAGAAATCTACCCCAGAGGACATTGACGCTTCAGAAGACCACAAAGATGAATGCCAGTCAAACACAGAGGAAGAAACATCCTGATACTTTTACATTCAGTATATATAAAGGACTTAATAGGGTCTGATAAGGATGTCCTATATTTTTCAATTTTACTTTAAATCCTGACTGGGAAAATTGTGTTTTGATACTGAAACTGATGACATTTTTAAACACATAGCGAAAAATCTGACATCCAAACATTACAACATATTTAATACAGAATGAAAACGATCTGTAGATCAGTTCTATTCTGAATGATCCTCATTAATATTTAATAAAATAAAGCGATAATACTGATAACTAATTTATTCTTATGTTTGAAAATCTGAGGGGGAAAACCCAGATTTATTCAAAAGCATTCAGACTTTGTTTTCTCATGTTATACTTGGAGCTGTTTTTCTTGCTACCACATTATACCTGTAACTTTTTGTAAAAATGTGATTTACTTTGTACCTATGTGTTTTAGTTTTAACTCTTGTACCAACAGTATGAAATATAGGTGCTAATTACCTTTCAATTTATATGCACTTTACTTGCAATGGAGTATGATTTTGTACTGAATGATCAGTTGTATTGAATTTAATATAGTGTTGTATTTGTAACATGGGTTTCAGTCGAAAACAGGTATTATATCCATATACAGAATAACATGTACTTTGATATTTTTATAAAGGAGTAAAACTGTAAGTGTTACTTTAAAAAAAGATGTGGTTTGAATCATAACTTACACAGTCGAAATGACTAGTCATTTTATAGTTCTTTTTATCCCAAATATCCCAAAAATTTATCTGTTCTTTTCTATATAATCTTTTCCTAAACATGTGTAGCCGTTACACTTATTTAAACAATTGTTCATGTTTTTGAGGAGATGTGATAAGTATTTATATTAGCCCCTGATCTGAAATTAATGATATAATCACAAACATGATGCACTTCAAAATTTGATAATAATATTTATTGATTATGATTGGTTACAAATCCTTTTTATACCCCTGCAACACTTCATAGCTGCAACAATAGTGTAAAAAGAAAAACTGCTCAAAAAAGGATAATGGATTAGAAATAACTAGAAAAATGCTATGCACTTTTAATACTTGTGACCTCCCTAACTCTGCTGATTCACAACAGTGGGGCTACTGTATTTCTCTTTATCTGCTTGCTTTCTCTATGTACATGATCAGTGTTTGAACTTAACTGTAGACCCCCGGACAATCACTAAAAATAACACTATGTCTATGGGCTTCGTTCACTTCATATACCAAGCTGTTTATTATTTTATTAAAGTTATTTCCTATGATGTGAAATGGGAGAATGTGTCTTGAAATATTTTTTTCCTTTATTAGGACTTATTTTTCGTAGTTTTATTTAATATAATAAAGCACTAAATAAATTTATTAAAGTAAAATTCCTTGGTCAAAGTCTAATACTGTATACAAAAGTTTCAATATGTCTTTTAAGAAATCAATTTGCATATAAAACCTTTTGTCTATACTGTCTTAATTATAAATTCTAAGACTGATTTAAGGATATATCTTTTTAAAAAAATGTAGGGGGTCATATATGGCCCTTGACTTGTCTCCATCTCCCAGATTTGATTATTTGTTTATAAAGTAAATGTAAAGGATATCTAATTAGTTGTTTCTTAACAAATATATCTGTTCTGGTTAGGTTATTTTCCAGTGATTTAATACTTTCACAACAAGTAAGGGAAAGTATACTAGAATCAGTTTGTCCATCTCTGTCAGTGGGGCAGTCTTTGTTGATTTTTTGTAGGAGTAATACTCAAGTATTCCTTGACTTAAGATGGCGGCTTTGGTGTCTGATACTTGGACATAAACAGCATTTAAATTATATAATGACTTATGAAGTTCTCTAAGGACATGTTCATTTTTTTTGAAGATGTCCAGCTGTTACACCATACTTGGTTTTGCTGTACAAGGTTAAACTTGTCATTGTAGGTTTATATCAGACCCATTATATATATAACTTGTAGCATTCCCACTACAACAGTTAAGATGGCCAGTATGGCCTCTGACTAACTGAAACATTAAAGCGGTCAAGCAGGGGCACTAGTTTGCCTATGGCTTACAGTTCTAGTTATATTAAGAGTCTGTTGAAGGCTTTATCCCTAAAATTCCATCTGATTCCTGTTTTTAATTTGAATGATCACCAATTTACACAAAAAATCGGAAAAGCACTTTACTATCAAACAAATAATGACCACCTTGAGCCTGTATAATGTGAACAACATTGAGATATGTTTTGTTTTTTATCTTCATGTATATGTTTTAGTGTTGTGTTCTATAAAAATACTTATTTTCCAAATTTCATGAAAATGATGCTACATTTTCTCCCGAAATAGAAATAAATAACACACATAAATGTATCTAATAGTAGAAATAAAAAAAAAGATATGAAGCGTCTCTTGTAAAACAAATGTAAATAGAAACGTTGGAATTGGCAAATTTTAAGCACATGTCTTAGGCGTGATGCAACCTATAGAAATTATGTGAGGAAACCTGATGAAACCTATAGAAATAATGTGAGGAAACCTCTTTCAAAATAAAGTTATCTGTGCATATATATTTTTTGCACAAATACTGTTTATTAGACAAATTCTGAGAAATGAAATTTAGAATTTTTGTTTTATTGTAATATACATAGCGTAGCTTTGTCTTTTATGTAACATACTTTATAGAATGTGATAGTGTATTTGAGTGTGGAAAGAGAGAATTTTAAAGGACTGTGTGTATGGAATACAATGTATAGAGGAATTCTTTGATGCATTTACTGCCCTTATTTGGAGAAGGCATGAATATCTAAGACCAAGCAGATTACTGGTATGGCAAGCAGTGGGTGAATAAATAGTCATATATCCCCTGAACAGGGGTGAAAATTAGTTTCTTGTACCCAAATGGAGTATTGACACACAAAAGGAAAATAGATAAGTATAAGACGAGAGTTGCTGTACACATGAGACTTGATGTACATCAATGTACTTCTTTCCATTTTGTTCATTTTCAGAATCATGAAATAACTTACACAGCAGCAGTATACATTTTCCTAGAAACCATTTTTCATCATTGGATCAAAACTGTATAAGAAATTCACAGTGAATCTGTATATAAACATCAAATTCTGAAATGTAAATATGGAAACATTTTGAAAAATTTAAGTGTCATTATCTGAAACAAGTAAAACAAAATCTTAAAAAGGATGTTCAAAACATAAGTACTGGTATTAACCATGAATAAATAAAGGCAAAACTTGAGATTATTTACGAATATTAGTGACACACTATAGTGAAATAAAGTGAAATGCATTAGTTTATTTACTATGAAATAGTTTGAGCAGTATTACAATGTATAGATCATACCATGTTCATGTGTAAGAACTGTGTAAGTAGTAAGTTTTGTGTAAGAGCACATTTTATTCTATTTTAATCCATTATCGGTCTTTGACAATTTTGTAAAACCATTTAAATACTGTTGAGTTTTTAAGAAAAAAATTAATAAAATTTGTTGACTTTTTTCTTATTGCAATATAATTTATATTTCTTTCTAAAATAAGAGTACTAATTTGTTGTATTGATTTAACTTGAAATATCAATAGTAATACCCTTGTTATGCAGACAGGTGGTAGTGTTTTCATCCTGTCGGTCATCGTCACACTACTGGTGGTCATCAATAGTGGCCATAAGTCTTGACAGGTTATCATGAACCTTTGACAAGCTCAAGTATGGTGATCATTTGGTCAAGGTCAATGTTAACAGTATAATGTTACAAAAAATAGCTTAGTGATGCCCTAGTAAATTATATTCCTTTGCCGATTTTCCTGAGATTTACACATGTGTTTGCATTGACAATACATTTGACAAATATAAGTATGGTTTTCAATGGTATAAGGTCAGTCCTTCAGGCTAGGTGAACTAAAAACTTATTGGCCTTTGTTTGACGCTCGAGTTAATTTATCAATTCCAGTTAAGAATCACTTTCTGTATGAAAGCTGCAGGGCATAAAGAATATTAAGATTTGTTTTGTTGTGTATGGAAACTTTGTTTGAAATTGTAAAAGTTAAAGATACATCAGCTAGAAAGATGACAAACCATTTTCTGTAAAGTTTATTTCTTATGATGTGGTGTTGCATCTGTCGTTCATCCATCAATGTTCCATTTTAAACTTTATAATCCAGGGCAGCAGAGTGGAGTTTTTACCAAATTTACCCCAACGGAAAAGGGGACTCAATGTTGTATAGTAAAAAGGGGTGGAGTCCAACATGGGATGGTAAGGTAAATCTTCAATACATCCTACTCTTTCAGTAAAGGGATTTTAACCAAATTTAGTCTTGTGCATACCTGGTACTTGCACCAAGGAGACTTGGCATCCAAGGATTGGTGGAGCCAAACTATATTTAGTTTGAAATGTTACTAGGACAAGGTGATCTTATATTGTATAAAATAAGTTGGTGTGACTCCCAATTTAGGCACCATTGATGTAAAGCATTTTTTTCTAAAATCAATATATAGCCCATTGCAAACGAATATAACCATGCTGTCGTGTCTGGCCTTATGGTCGATCATGGAAAAATGTTGATGTCCCCACCATATCCCAATATAAACAATTACTGTTCTGGAAGAGGAAATGATTGAGGTCCTCGCTCTGTAACCATTTTAAACAAAAAAGTGTATATAACCATGATTGGCCCAGTGTCAAGTCCTATTCCTTGGTCACAACAAGAAGCAGTCGAGTTCCCACTGTATAACCAAGGTCACAGTCGACACAATCAGAATGATTGGCCCAGTGTCAAGTCCTATTCCTTGGTCACAACAAGAAGCAGTCCAGTCCCCACTGTATAACCAAGGTCACAGTCGACACAATCAGATAAAATATAGCCAACCAGCCTGAACCAGGTGCCTGTTACGTTGTAGAAATATTCTAAGCCATGTGTCATAACATGGAAATGGTTGAGATTCCCGTTCTATAATCACATACACCATTGCTGAGCAGGAAGAGACATGTATGCAAGTACATGATTGGCCTCTGGATCCAACACCAACCAAGGGAACCTGTTATTTATATCCAAAATCATAACCAATAGGCCCAAGGTAAAGATATTTGGCCAATAGCATGTTCAATTGAAAGTGGGTCAAGGTCACAGATCAAACATTTATAAAAAATAAAACACATTTTAAACAACATCTTCTCAATAGTCCCAGGATTATGATATCTAGTCACTAGCATACTGGGATGAATAGCCTGGACAATATTCAAGGTCACATGGTTTAACTATGTTGAAAACCTTTGAATGAATTGCTGATATTTAGCCAAAAACCTGTTTGAATGAAGGGCTTTAAATTTGTTCAAATGTTTAAAAATGTTCAAACACTTTCTCAATACCCAAAAGGTCAAAGGTGAAGATATCTAGCAAGTGACAAAAGAGCAAAGATAGATAATATTTGACTGGTTGCATGCTTAGATAAAGGGCTACTTGAATGTAAATTGTTAAAATTTCAAGGTCACATGGACAAATTTGTTAAAAATCTTTGAACTGGTCATTCTAAATGATGAGTCTAAGGTAATGTTTATTAGCTTGTAGCTTTATTTACTCCATTTAGATATACAAACGTATGTGACCTTCCGCTTTTAAGGCTGCAAATATGGTAAAACCAGGTGAGTTATACAAGCCCATTAGGACTCTTGTTATTATTATTGTTATTTACAAACACTACTTGGCTAGGTGGATTTTAACTAAATAACGACGATCATCCCTGGGCCAAGGGTAAGCCCCGTTTGTGGAATAGGGAGTGGCCTTGAAGGTGTATTTGAAAGACTGCACCATCGAAAGTTACTGAATGAATATATATGTCTTATTTAGCATATGGTGCACTCCTGAGGATTTGAACCTCATTTAGTATAGAACACTGGTTACCCCTAAGTCAAGAAAATGTTGCATACATATGTGAAGTCTAGGGGAGATGGATGGGGTCGATAGGGAATATGAAGGGGATGCAGCATACATATTTTAAATACTTTTACTTTTTGGGAGCAGTTTGAACTTCATTCAGCATGAAGAACGAAAAGTATTCAATACAATATCAAGAAGAGACCGAGAGTTCTCTTTTCAACTTCTTATATATGGCTGTTATTTAGAAATGGTCAAATGGTAGTCATTTTAAAATCCTAAGATGTTTTCTTTGGCCACTGATTGGAAGACGCATTTTCGTCTTCTAAATTTCCATCATTCCAATTTTTCAACTTATCAAATGATCTTCACGTTTGCCCTAACTATTTTAAGTAATCTTGATTGATTGACTGACAAAGACAAGATTATGTGTTGTTTCGGAATCCAAAAAGGCTGTATACTATCCCCTGGCTGAAACATATTTATAGATTCTCATTCTGTCAGATTATTTTAACCAAATGTCTTGCAAACAGTACAACCATTACCCTAACAAAGTGTTGTTTAATTGTCAATATAAAATCTAAGATGGCAACCGTGGTTTCAAATTATCGGAAACATTTTCACTGATTGTTTCGTTCAGATAACGGAAGCACGTGAGCGATACGGGCACCACGCGTCTGTTGTATCTTTTTAGCTCGCCTATTCGAAGAATAGGGGAGGCTAATAAAGTCACCCCGGCGTCGGCGTCCCACCTTCCGAGGTTAAAGTTTTGGTGCAAGTTTTTTCCAGACAGTGTTGGATCAGCACACTCTATGCACAGTTGTCTATTATGAGTTTAAGTCATTTATATCGAGTGTAAGCAATGTGCTGGACCATACTTTCATATTTTAGCGTCCAAAAACAGCTTTATTGTTAATTTCTTAACAATCACTTCACATAGATGTTTCTACACAATTAACGGTCCTTGAAATATGCTGGTGGTAAGTGAGGTGGCAAATAAAATGACAGGCACTATATCAACGTTTTACTATACATGTGTTTCTATTGATAGTTGCAGTATTATAATAACATACATAGGCGAGCTATGCTGTTCTCAGACAGCTCTTGTTATTTTATGTTATGGCTGAAGGGGCTGGGATGGGTTAGCGGTCGCGTCATATGTTTTAATGAGAATATATCTGCATTGAAAATATATTTTGAATCATTTCAGGGACGTATAAAACCAGTGTTAAATTTCTCTGAATATTTCTTAACTAAATATTTGCATTTAATCCATGTTAAAATTAGTTTCTTTCAACTGTTCAACTGATGGCCTGGTTTTATCAAAGCCCACACGGATATTACGACCCGTTTTAAAGACCAAGTCAAATGTAAATTTGAGCAATACACTTCATTGCATTCAGTCCTTTTAATTAGCCGACACTTACCTATACTCTGCCAGAGTAAGTAAATACTGATCGTGAAGACTGACCGGGTCACAATAGGCTGCGTAAATATCCCCACGCCCGTAAATCATCTACACCACGTATGTCTTAAGTCAAAGGGGGCGATGTCCAACGGGCACAGAAATGAAGATTTTTTCCCCCTTTTATATAAGAATTTCATCAAATGCCTTTCACATACCAAGCAATGCAACAAAAATCAATTGCAAGCACAAACAGCTTAAGCCGACCACAACAGATTAACATTTATATATATATATATTACCAATGAATCTCAACTGAAAGCGGTCGGTACTTATACTTATTTACAATTTAGCACGTATGAAGTTTAAAAAAGGGAAAAATATCGTGTAGAACAGCCATCTACTAGGGAGGTTCAATATGCATCCAACGTTAAAATTAAATCACCATAATAATGACGCTGTCACTATTGGGTCATGACATTCATATTTTGTTTATGCTAAGTAAAATAAAGCATGGTTTGAATAAGCGATATTACACATATTCTAACCCCCATCAGCCCTCTCCGTACTATGTAACAAAAGTCGTACCACATCCTCTATCAAAGATATGGTCACTAATCACATTAACAGCAAAAAAGGGGGAATCTGAATTGGCAAATAACTACAGACCCATTTCCTTACTTAGCTGCATTGGCAAACTTTTCGAACGAATAATTCATAAGCTCATCTATAACTATCTCTTCAGCAACAAACTTCTATATACTTTACAGTCTGGCTTCTTACCAAATCACTCTACAACTCACCAACTCATCGAACTCTATCATAGCATACTTACAGCACTGGAGAATCGTGAATATACTGCTCTTGTTTTTTGTGACTTTTCTAAAGCTTTTGACCGAGTCTGGCACAAAGGTCTATTAATTAAATTAGAAAAATACGGGATAAAAGGCAAACTTTTAGATTGGATTAAAAACTACTTAAGTAACAGACGCCAGTCAGTGGTACTAAAAAATGCTATATCTTCTGAAGTATCTATCAAAGCCGGAGTTCCTCAAGGTTCAGTGTTAGGGCCACTTCTTTTTCTTGTATACATCAACGATATTTCAAATACATTACTATCAATGACTAGACTTTTTGCTGACGACACCGCATTAGCACACTCTTCGAAAAATTTACACGATATAAAACAAGTTATAAACTACGACATGGAACAATTAAACCTTTGGTCAAATAAATGGTTAATGAATTTCAACCCAAATAAAACCGAAATTCTCTTAATTTCCAACACAAATATACCTTCTAACCCACAATTTCTTTTCGACAACACACCTATCCCTATTGTTAAAAACCACAAACACCTAGGAGTCATTATTAGTAACAACGGCACATGGAACTCTCACATCGAACATATACTAACAAACACTACAAAGTACATTGCAACTTTAAGGAAATTAAAATACATCCTAAATAGAAAAAACTTGGAAAAAATATACCTTGTTTTTATAAGACCACTATTTGAATATGCCTGCGAAGTATGGGACAATTGTAATATCACATTTTCGAATAAATTAGAGAACATGCAGTATGAAGCAGGTCGAATAATAACTGGATTACCTATTTATACAAAAAAAGAATTTATTTACAGAGAGCTCGGATGGAAATCATTGATAGATAGACGCAGGATTAGAAAATTATCCATGTTTTATAATATTTATCATGATAATGCTCCCTCATTTCTTAAATCTCTTCTACCACCTATTGTGTCAAACTTCTCTAACTATAATCTTAGAAACAGGAATAACTTTCAGAACCCATACTATAGACTGCAAATCACAAAATCATCCTTCATACCAAGTACTTCAGACTACTGGAACAATCTATCTATAGAAACAAAGTCATCAGCATCCATTAAACAATTTAAATCTCTTATTCAGCCCCAAGTCACTACCCCTTCTTATATTATTTTTTTTCTTGAATATGGGTCCAGAAAAGTAAATATTATACATTGCCAATTACGAAACCGCAGTAGCTCTTTAAATTACGACCTTTTTAAAGTCCACCTTCGAGACAACTCTACTTGCGACTGCGGAAATGACTCGGAAGACTCTTCCCATTTCTTACTAAACTGTAAAAAATTTGATCAATCCCGTAATATAATGCTCCAATCCCTCGATTGGTATAACGAGATCACTGTTGAACACCTTCTCTTCGGAGATGCAAACCTTGACTACAATCTAAACATTCAAATTTGTAGGTCTGTACAACTGTTCATTTTGAGCTCCAAACGGTTTAACATGTAATACCCCATAGTCTTATTGAATAACCAGGATACCTATTTCGACTATTTCCATCTGTCTCTCCCCTCCACCTCCTCTCTTATTCCAGCCCCTCTCCCTTTTTCCAACACCAACGATCTCTGTGTACTAACTTCAATCTTAGCGTCCATCAATATCATAACCGTTTCCATATGACAAAGAGTGCGTGTTCGGTTTTCCTAATCTAGTCGGCTAAGTATGTAAGGCAGGAATTCACAGAAGGACTTGGAGTGACACAGGAGAAAGGCAAATGCGGCACGGAATGTGATTGAACTTTAGAAAGCAGAAGGACATGTGTGTATAGATTAGTTATACTACTTACGCCTACTTGATTGGGAAAATCACACGCGCGATCTCAAGTAAACTCTCCGAATACATATTTAAAAACTATACGTTGGTGTCCCTAATCCTTTCATTACCTCTTTTGCTGTTACCCATCTTTAACATCTTATATATATATATATATATATATATACATATATGAATTTGTATTAGGTTATTACGTGACTCATTAATTTTGTATATATATTTTCTGTTACGGAAAGGACGTAAGTAAATTGCAATAACTTTTGTCCAATACATTTGTCTTTTGTTGCAATAAAATTGATTTTAACTAACAGCAAATCCAAATAGTATTTCCGCGGGGAGAGTTAGTCGTACGGGAATCATGATCTGCCTAAAGATATCTTGCCTGCGGTCACATGGATTTCTCCGTTTTGCCACTCAGATGTCATTCATACAGGCTATGCATGTCATAACCCAATTGTTTACGTCATTATTATGACGTCATAAATGTTACGTAGAATACCACGTATACTGACCTTCCGTGGACAGATGACTGTTATATTCATTGTACAAGAATATACGATAAACACATCTTTTTTAACTTAAAAATGCTGAATATTTATTATGTATTTTTCTGTGAGATTTGAATATACGCATTGAACTATTTTCAGTTGAGATTTATAGATGATATAAACAAGGCAATTAAAAAAAAAATAGAAAATTAAAAGTGCACGTGTATTATGGAAAAGGGTGTGTTATTCTTATGCATGCATTATATTGGTGATAACGTATAGTGGTATAGTACAGTGGTAAAATCTATCAATAACAAAAAGTATCCGATATCATGTTGATATAGTGTTACAAATAGTGGCAATGACATACAACTTTTGTCTTTAGTTTCGCTCAGATGACATCGTTGTAAGCTAACTAGTAGCTTGTGGTGATGTATGATGATCCTTTCTTCTAAGGTATGCTGTACACACGCGTACTAATTAGACTGCTGGTTGCTATGTATATAGTTATTTACATTTAAAGGCTCATTTCATTATCTGGTAGGGTTGGAGTATGAAACTCCCACTGTTGATTCCTCTCCTTTTAAATATGATGGTTAAAACATGTGATTTTTAAAAGTGTTACATGGTTCATTTTTTACTGATTAGACTTGCAATTAGTGGGTTTAAATGGAGGTCTAATGCTGTTTTATAGAGTTTTCTTTTAAACCAAGTAGACTAGTTTATTTCCCCGTTTGGAAAATCCACATAAAGACTTAATGATCCGCAATGACATCGTAGTTATAAATATCCCCGACGTTCCGTCCCTCCCGAACACGTTGTATGTCAGTTTCCATTTGACCCCATGACCCAAGACTAGGGGAAATCCTTACCACGTCACAATGACGTCAGTAGATCAGCACAATGTGTGTACATGGCGAGCATGCCTTGATAAAATCACTCGTGGATTCTAGTGAACTGCAAGTTTTCTGGGAATGGAACTAATGCGCAAATAGTGTATCGATACCATAAATAAGCAGGTAAAGTGTGTGTGTTTTATATGGGGAAATGTCCGATTTATCGCCAATATTGCATCAATCGTTGCCGAAATGGTATCAATATGGTGCTTTACAGTAGTCTATTTTGTGATGAGACCTTTCGCCTGTTGGTCATCTCTTACAATATTGGTCAATCGATTTGACGGAAACCCGGAGAATGTAAGTGTGCGAATTTGGTACATGTACATGTGTTCTGGCTTACGTTCAACGGTTGTCTTATGCCTCAGAAAAAAAGGCGTGTCATTAAAATTTGTACACTCATGTAATCACACATTTTGTTACACACACGTACAATAAATAGGCATTTATATCGTGTAACGTTCCATTGCAATATAAGGTAGAGTATAATTTATACAGGGAACTTTCATTTGTCACTGATAATGAGACATATTCAATAGAGTATTAATCGACCTTGATGTCTTAGATTGCATGTGACATCTGACTATAGACTACTGCAATACAGTAACTTGTTTGCTGTTTGTTTTAAATATACAAACCAATAATATACACGTTTGTGTTAGGCCTACTGTATGATTTGTAGCATTGTCAAACCCAAGGTGGCTTTTCGAAACACATGATCATCCAAACTCATGACATGCATTAATTGCCAGACGCTTCTAGCCCTAAATCTTACAAAAATAAATCAGAATCCTTTTCCTGCTAGTCAAATCACTTGATTGGTTTGTGTAATTTATTTTGGCAAAATGATACATTATTATGTCCATGATGATATCCTAATTTCAAGGGTTTATCTTGCAAAAAAGCTAGTTACAATGTGCTTTCGACCTAGTCACTGAGCTGTCTTTGATAGTTGAACAATATCTGTGAATATCAGGTCTTGACGACAGTTCTAAATTATTTTCAAGAATTGTTTTCTTTTGGTGGAACATAGAGTGAAACTCATTATGTTCTGAGGTCCTTGCATGCACAAAAATGATACTGACAGTATGAAACCTTTTGATCAAAAATGACCATGTCCATTTCAGAACTAATAGCTAGTCTGTGTGATACTGAGTACTGACTGTGTCCTGGTCAGAAAACTCGGACAGTATGATACTGACTGTGTCCTGGTCAGAAAACTCGGACAGTATGATACTGACTGTGTCCAGGTCAGAACACATAAACAGTGTGATACTGACTGTGTCCTGGTCAGAAAACTCGGACAGTATGATACTGACTGTGTCCGGGTCAGAACACTTAGACAGTGTGATACTGACTGTGTCCAGGTCAGAACTCTCAGACAGTATGATACTGACCGTGTCCGGGTCAGAACACTTCGACAGTATGATACTGACTGTGTCCTGGTCAGAACACTTTTGGACAGTATGATACTGACTGTGTCCAGGTCAGAACACTTAGACAGTGTGATACTGACTGTGTCCAGGTCAGAACTCTCGGACAGTATGATACTGACTGTGTCCTGGTCAGAACTCTCGGACAGTATGATACTGACTGTGTCAAGGTCAGAACACTTGGACAGTATGATACTGACTGTGTCCAGGTCAGAACACTCGGACAGTGTGATACTGACTGTGTCAAGGTCAGAACACTTGGACAGTGTGATACTGACTGTGTCCAGGTCAGTACTCTCGGACAGTGTGATACTGTCTGTGTCCAGGTCAGGACTCTCGGACAGTATGGTACTGACTGTGTCCAGATCAGAACACTTGGACAGTGTGATACTGTCTGTGTCCAGGTCAGTACTCTCGGACAGTGTGATAATGACTGTGTCAAGGTCAGAGCACTTGGACAGTGTGCTACTGACTGTGTCCAGATCAGAACACTTGGACAGTATGATCCTGACTGTGTCCAGGGCAGAACTCTCGGACAGTATGATACTGACTGTGTCCAGGTCAGAACACTCGGACAGTATGATACTGACTGTGTCCTGGTCAGAACACTTAGACAGTATCATACTGACTGTGTCCAGGTCAGAACTCTCGGACAGTGTGATACTGACTGTGTCCAGGTCAGAACTCTCGGACAGTATGATACTGACTGTGTCCAGGTCAGAACACTCGGGACAGTATGATACTGACTGTGTCCAGGTCAGAACTCTCGGACAGTATGATACTGACTGTGTCAAGGTCAGAACTCTCGGACAGTAAGATACTGACTGTGTCCTGGTCAAAACACTTAGACAGTGTGATACTGACCAAGTCCTGGTCAGAACTTTTGGACAGAATTATTTCTGATCCAGTCCTGGTCAGAACTCTCAGGCATTGTGATACTGACCAAGTCCTGGTCAGAACTTTTGGACAGAATTATTTCTGACCAAGTCCTGATCAGAACTTTCGAATGGTATGATACTGACCAAGTCCTTTTTTAAATTTTCAGACAAAGTCTGTGGTAAGGCATCTGAACACTTAAATGGATTGTTTTGAAAAAATAAGATTAAAAAAATATATCAATCTCATTTTTGCTTCAGAACATCTTGTGGTATCATTTTGTCATTAGCTCTGTGTGCTATATATTTCTGCACTGCCATTTTATCAAGCTTTATCTTGCTACTACACAACATGCTTGACAGAAGATGAGGATATTTAAGGTGGCTCCACACTTTCGCAATTAACCAGCAAAATTCGTTGAAACTTTCATATAATGGTTATGCAACTATGTAGAGTTAATTTTATGAAAATCTAAACATTCCGATAGTTTGGGGAATTTTTTGGAAAAAATACCAAAAAATTGAATTTTCGCCACTTTTAATATTTTCCGTTTTTTTTTGTGTGTGGCATTGTTCGGAACAATAAAAACAATAAAAAAATGAAAAGAAGCATTTATAATTAATCCTACAAATATTTTATTTATCGCAAAATATGTAACACATGTTACACAAAGTGTTTTTTATTGAATTTGAACGGATAAAAGTGATTATCTACAAGCTAAAAGCAAACAGGACACACAGATCTATACATATAGAGTGGGAAATTGAACAAAATATACACAATGGCTTTATAATTAATTTATTTTACATTTTACAATCACTTTGATCCGGGTGAGAGTTATCTTCCTTGAAAAAAATCGGAACTTTTTGCAGAGGGATGACATTTACACAATGACAGTTGTCTCTGTTTACATATAACAAATGATGGAAATAAATCAAAAATATGATATCAAAATTATCAATTTATTGTTCTTTAATGGAACCAAATTACCCTCAGTCATGTACACTTTGGACATCATTCCACAGTCCGCTAACTCACGGTATATTTATAATTACATGTCAGGTACATATGTGACCAGAGGCTATCGCATGGTATGCCGTTCTCACGTGCCCTCACACATGCATTTCATAGGTATCTTGATATTTTACAAAACATTATTTTCACAGAGTAAGTAGACTACATTTGTAAACACGATTTAATCGACAGAGCGAAACTCCCTCAGCTTATGAACTCGTGTAAGCACGTGATATGCACATATGAGGTTGGTACGTCCGCATTCCATGTGTTTCCTATATGACCTTCTTGAGGTCGTCTGGTCTCATGTCACTGTCTTCCCGTGAGTCTGTTTATGTCAATGAATTGGAAAGCTTTATTCCTGAAGTACGTGTGATTATACATTTCCCGGTAAAATCTCGATATCGGGTGTTGACATATCATCGGCACGCACGTGTACTATTGTTTACCAGGGGCCTGTTCGTTTATGCGGAACAACCGGTTTGACCGTTTATAAATGTAACAATTCCGGGTATAAATCCTGGCGGACCTACAAATGTGTATGCAAGACTTGCAAGGCTTTCTCAATGCTCGCCTGAAAGCAGCATTAGATAACTAGGTCCTACCTTATTTAATAAACGAACAACAGTGGTCCAATCGGTTTGACCGTTTAAAAGCAAACGGCCCAGGTGTTACTATAATTTGCACTACGATATTGAATACCCGATACGCAAAACGGAAATGACGACACGGTGTACATGAACATTTCGATCAAGATAATTGAGTCCGAGCTGTACTTTTTCCGGAAGTACGTCACGAAAATGGACGCTGATGACGATGTGTCGAGCCACCTTAACATGTATGTACATCATCAGTGAGCAGACAAAAAGTTATCGGAAGTTCACCTGGAAATCGAAAGAATATATAACTCAGGAATAAAAACTTTCACTTTTTAACTTTAAATATTGAAAATGATCCCATATCTGATAACAAAAAAAAAAAATCCTGACCCCGACTTTATTGTAGTCTGTCAAACATAAAAGAATATGGTATGCAAATTATCAAACAAGACTGAAATTAGACTACACAAAAAATAAAATAAAATTACATTTAAATACATTCATAGATAATATAATCAGTTTAAGTCGACATGTTAAAAAATCAATAAAAAAATGTGCAATTTAGAAAAACTTTTTGATAACTTGGACATGATGAAAGAACCCACTTGAAACCTGTCTGTGTGGTAGCGGGTACGTCGTGAATTTCTTTTTGGTGTATTTTAGTTGTCTCTCCTTTTAGTGTACTTTAGTTGTCTGTCTTTTTAGTGTATTTTAGTTGTCTGTTTAACTCTTTGAGCACTGAATCAAATTTTTGGCGCGGAAATATGGCAGCTATTTCAGGCGGGTGAAATTTGTTGACAAATGTTTGTTTGTAGTTTAATAAAAAAAAACAGTTAATCGCAATTGTTATTTTTTCATTTCAAATAGTTATGACATGTTATTCACAGTCCTTGGTAATTTCACAGTGTTCTGTTGATACAAACATAAAATTGCTGTTGATTCTGAAGAGCTTTGAAACAGATGACATGAGGATAGATCTGTGTGATTTTTTAGCATAAGGTGTTTTCAATGTCCATAATGCTCATTCTGTAATACTAAATCCTATAGAAAATGTATCGCAATTCACTTCCCATGAAAGGAGCTTCAGTGATCATGAATTTCTTATAAATCAGATGGAATGGTCCAAGGGTCATGACATTTAGCTTTGTAGTGACATTAATTAAGTTAAGTGAATTGTTGATGACAGTCCCTTGTAAATCTAAGTCAAAGGAGATAATGATATTTGGAGCAAGCTTAAGAATATTGAATCAAGTGCAACATGTAAACATCATAGGTTATTTTTAGCTCACCTGGCCCGAAGGGCCAAGTGAGCTTATCCCATGGTGCAGCGTCCGTCGTCCGTCGTCCGTCAACTTTTTCCTTTAAAATGCTACTTGTCCTGAATGGCTCAGAGGATTTTGACCAAATTTGGTCAGGAGCATCATTGGCCAAAGGGTTCTCAGTTTTGTATAAACGGAGGGTATAACCCCCCTGGGGGCAGAGGGGCGGGGCCAAATAGGGGGAAAATAGGTAAATCTTTAAAAATCTTCTTCTTCTCAACCAATAGAAGGATTTTGACCAAATTTGTCCTAGAGCATCTTTGGACAAAGGAGACTCAAGTTTGTATAAACGGAGGGTGTGGCCTCTTTGGGGGCAGAGGGGCGGGGCCAAATAGGGGAAGTAGAGGATTTTTTCTCTCCTACTATACAAGTGAAGGGATTTAAACCAAATGCAGTCTGAAGCTTGGTCAGGAGCATCATTGGCCAAAGGGTTCTCAGTTTTGTATAAACGGAGGGTATGGTCCCCCTGGGGGCAGAGGGACGGGGCCAAATAGGGGAAAATAGGTAAATCTTTAAAAATCTTCTCCTCAACCAATTGAAGGATTTTGACCAAATTTGTCCTAGAGCATCTTTGGACAAAGGAGACTCAAGTTTGTATAAACGGAGGGTGTGGGCCTTCTGGCGGCATAGGAGCGGGGCCCAATAGGGGAAATAGAGGATTTTTTTTCTCCTACTATACAAGTGAAGGGATTTAAACCAAATGCAGTCTGAAGCATGCTTAGGGAGAAAAGAATCAATTTTGTTTAAACTGAGGTGTGTGGATTCCCCTTCTTTGGGGCAGATTAGTGGGGCCCATTAGGGGAAATAGAGGAAAACATTAAAGATCCTTCTCCTTCTGTACCGTTGAAGGGATTTTAACCTAACCAAACTTGTTTTAGAGAATCTTTGGGCAAAGGGAATTGAATATTTATAAATGGAAGATGCAACTTTGTTACTTGTATTCCTTTGATAAACCTGAATGGTACTCAGCAGGTTTTAAATTGAAAAATAAAATACCAGGTGAGCTATTAAGGCCCCTGGGCCTCTTGTTTTTGTACAGCACAGTAATAAGCCAGCCGTTTTGGTTATTGATGAAGTGAAGATCAAGGAAAGTAACTGAAGTAGAAAAGTCTTCCTCTGATACTTGCCGGTGAAAGACAGGAGTTGACCCGCAAGTCTGCTAAATAACGTCGGCGTTTCAAATAGTTCTGTTGTTTTGACTGTTAAATTTTCATTAATTTCGTACTTATTGTAAGATATATTAACTGATATATTACAGTTGTTGGATTATTAAATGACAATATTGTTAACGTTGTGCTTTACATTGATTTCTGATTTTATATTCAGGGTTTATCACCCCTATAGAATTAACATAATTGTATTCATGCGTGTCATTGAATACAAACATATGAAGGTGACAGAGTATTGACACTGGCATGTTTATTTCGAGTATGGGAGAAAGAGAATCAAACATGGGTATGGTCTGTGGACAGGGAAATCTCAACCCTCGGGTAAGAGTTCGGCTGTCCAGCACTCATTCCTGATAAGGTTGTTGTTACCTGTCCTGATAAGGTGGTTGTTACCTGTCCTGATAAGGTGGTTGTTACCAGTCCTGATGAAATCTTCAATAAATTCAGCCTCATGCACAAAACAAGCCCGTTCTGTCTTGGGGAAAATAAGTTGGTCTTGAGTACACTCTACCCTAAATATATTTGTTAACACCATAACAGGTGAACGATATAGCCTTCTAGGACTTTTTTGTTTTCATAAAGTTAGTGACAAATTATTTCTAGAGAAAAATCCTCAAAATCCTGAATGCAAATTCCCATATTACTGTGTGCAATAATTGTTTCAAATAATGAGTGATCTGCATCGAAATTCTTATCGATTAATCTTTTTAATATTAGATTGATTTAGTATGGTTTAGGTTTTTTTAACGTCCTATCAACAGCTATGGTCATTTAAGGACGGCTTTTTTTATCCATAAATACTGGCTGTAGGAACCATAGTTCAAAGGTCTAATATATTTTTATTTCTGAAATTTTATACATAAGACAAAAAAAAGCTATGAACCACGCAGCTACTTAATAGTTATTCACCAGGAGTTGTTGTACAAAAGTGCTATTAATTTTGACTTGACAGTGATAAATTGGTTTTATCACTGCCGCAGTATTACAGTTAACACTTCATGTTGATATCAAAACTTTACAGTAGGCATTGCCAAGTTAACTTCAAAACTTTCTTAATTTGGCCATATGAAAGTAAAATGTTTCCAGTGATACAACTGACCCAAAGATAAATAGTTGTGCCTACTGAACAGTGATTGTTGTAGGAATACGGAGTCCAGGATATTATTTTGAAAATGTTTTTGAATCTCATTACTATGTGTGACTCCCACAGGAAAAGCTCTAGTCCTGGATTCAAACATCTGTGTGCCAAAATTCGCTGCTGGACAGTTTAAATATTTTTCTAATCGTTTGTACAGTAGCTGAAAATGACTGACCAATTCCCTAGAGTCTGTTAAACTGAAATTTTGATTGTGATGTCCCTGTCCAAAAAAAAGATGGTCAGGTTGATTGTGATGTCCCTGTCCAAAAAAAGGATGGTCAGGTTGATTGTGATGTCCCTGTCCAAAGAAAGGATAGTCAGGTTGATTGTGATGTCTCTGTCTAAAGAAAGGATGGTCAGGTTGATTGTGATGTCACACTCACCTTTCATCAAGGTGGCCGTGGTTTGATTTCCCAATCAGATGTAAACATGATGTCACCTGCCTAACAACGAGGGTTTTCTCCGAGTACCCGGGTTCCTCCCACACTAAGACCCCATGCATGCTAATTATATAACATCTGGGCCAACAAGAGTGATAACTATAAGTTGAAATAACTTAATTGTTTAATAATTGTTGTAAAACGAATAAAGTTTATCATTTATTGATATCCAAAGAAACGATAACTGATCGTAATCAAAGTGAGAAAGAAAGCATGGTAAAAGAGTTTGTCTTGTTATACTAACTATGTCGGGTAACTGACAGGAAACAGGATTATTTTTTAGCACAGCCTAAATGGTTTCAGTATCGTGTATATATTGTGATGTGTACAAATAAATACATCCTGGGCAAATATTAATGATTTTAAAGCTTTTAATCTCAAAGTTTGGATGGTGTATATTTTATCACTGATTTATTTGAACTGTTTACACTGGTTTACAGAGGTGAAACAGTCGTTAAAGTTGGTGTGCCAAAACACATACTTAAACAACTTAATTGATTTGATATACATGTATAATGGTATTAAAGTAAAATGATAAGCTCTGACATATCTTTTGATGCTGATTCTGTAAATGATGAGTCTTCTAACTGCCTGACAGATAAATGAGATTCCAGGTTAAAGTGTAGGGTACTGTATGTAGACTTACAGAGGATAAATTGGATTTTCACTATACTATTGGTAAGAAGAGTTGGGTGTGAGATTGATTTGCTTTGTATACTTATCAATATTATTGTAAATGTGGTTTTGATTGCAGATATAACAGTAAATATTTTTCAAGATCAACTTGTTTCTGTAGAGGTGAAATTCTTTGTGTCTTCAGATTTAAATATTATTTAAATAGTGATGGAGATATTTTTTCCTGTATTCATGTAAATATTATTGAAAGTGAGTTTGTTTATCTTTATTCATATATGATTATCAGGGGGTAAGGTTGTTTCTGTATTTAGATATTGTAAGGGGAGCTTGCTTTTCTTTCAGATGAATATTATTGGATTTGATGGTAATTTAATGGAATTTATTGATTTATGATTCTGCCTCAGTGGTTTGATATTTAAATCACCTGTAGAATATATTGTGGTTGAGGTGATACTGGATAACGACCTGGCATGCCGAGTTTTTGTTCATATATCGCCACTTACAGCTCAGACTGTAGAAGGAAATCAAAGCTAATGTTGGAGACTGAATGGTTGAGTGAATACAGGGATTAATACACTAATAGATCTATACATATTTTTATCCTTGGCAGGCAATATACAGCAAGGTGGACAGGATTATAGATTATATTGCTCCTTTTTTCTTTGCAGATTGAGTTAGCCCAGCAGGTTACTGAGAAGGTGTTGCATTGGTCGTCAGCTTGACATTGTAATTAGTGGTCTGGCGAAACCTGTGGCCAAGATTATGCAGATTCCATTAATAGTGAGAGACAGGCAGATTTGTGACAATTTCTCTCAGGAGCTCGGCAACTATGGATGTGTCAGAGCAACAAGGTGGCACAATGACATGGATGTCCAATTCCGCGGATCAAAACACTCTGGTTTTACAAGATCCAGACTATGGTCTGGACATCCTTCGTCGCATAAACACACTGCGAAGTGAACGTGTGTTCACTGACGCATCCATCTGTGTTGGGCAGGAGGAGTTCCCCTGCCACAGAAATATACTGGCTGCCAGTAGCCCCTACTTCAAGGCCATGTTTACCAGTGAACTACGTGAGGGACTGGAAACTGTTGTGTCCATTAATGAGGTATCTCCTTGGATCATAAAACGCATCCTTGAATATGTGTACACAGGGCGTGTGGAGATTACCACTGACAACGCCCAGGAGTTATTGGCTGCTGGAAGTCTCTTCAACTACCCTGCTATCATTGAAGCCTGCTGCCAGTTCCTGAAATGTCAACTTTTCCCTTCAAATTGTTTGGGTATCGAGAATTTTGCGATTTTACATTCATGTAAAAGGCTTCAGGAAGATGCGCACAAGTTTGTATTGGAGAATTTCAGTGCTGTTGTGGAGTTCGAAGAGTTTCTGGAATTCAGTGCTGAAAGACTCAAAGTGTATGTATCTAGTGACTGGATTGATGTAAGAAAAGAGGAAACTGTGTATGAGGCTATCATGCGATGGCTTCATTTCGATCTCGACAACAGAAAATATTACATGTTTCAATTACTGGAGTTTGTGCGTCTGCCAATTGTGGATATGAGTCGTCTGAAACTGATAGAGCAGGACCCACTTATTCAAAGCTGTGAGAAATGTATGTTATTGGTTAAGGAGGCTCAGGAGCAGCATGAATCCATCCATGACCAACATGGCCGACGGCGACGCAGTATGCAGAATAGCCAGGTTCATCCTAGACCGTCCACCGTTGCTAAGGAAAAGATGGTTGTAGTTAGTGGATGGAATAGCTATGTGACACGTAAGGTGGAGATGTATGATCCTCAGAAGGACAGATGGTCAGACTTACCCGATTTCCCAAAAGCTGTGTCATGGTTCAGCGTGTGTGCAGTGTCCAACTGCATTGTAGTGACAGGAGGTATCCTGGATGCCAGGATAATACAGAACTGCTGGAAATTTGATAGTGTCAAACGAACATGGATCGAGATTGCACCCATGTTGAAGCCTCGCGCCAGACATGCTTCGGAGACACTTGATGATCGTCTATATGTTTTTGGTGGCGTGACGTATGGTGCCTTTAACTCTCAGATTGACCTTGACCATATTGAGTGTTACGATTCTATCCTCAATACATGGAGTGTAGTAGGACGCTCCACGTTTCCACGGAAGCAGTCACAAGTGGTGTTATTTGGGGACATGTTGGTAGAGGTTGGGGGTTTACAGGGTGGAGGTCAAGAGGGAGGGGCAAAGGTCGACACAATGGACAGCTACAAATGCTCAGAGAATGGTGAACTCCGCTCACCCGGAGAACAGTTCATCCTGCCAGAACCAATACAATTTGCCAAAATTCTTGTCATAAATGGAATATTCTACATTATATGGGAAGATTTGAAGAAAATGATAGCATTAGACCCAAGCAGGCGCACATTCCAGAGTCTTGCCGACACTCACTATGCTCACAAGCACAGTGGGGCCACAGTACTTGGTGATAAGGTCTACATCACAGGGGGCCTCATCGACTCCCGCCCAAGCAACATAGTCGAGTGCTACGACACGACAACTGATACATGGACGGTCGGCAAGTCAATGACAGAGACTCGTGCATTCCATGGTTGTGTGACAATTCAATTATAGAAACTTTCTCTGAGTTCAAACAGTATATATATAATGTATGTAGCTGAGGTACAGATGTAACAGCTATAGCTCACTGTGAGGTAGATTATAACAGCTATATAACACTGGGGTACAGTTGTAACATCTATAGCTCACTGTGAGATAGAGTATAACAGGTATATAACACTGAGGTACAGATGTAACAGCTATAGCTCACTGTGAGGTAGAGTATAACAGCTATATAACACTGGGGTACAGTTGTAACAGCTATAGCTCACTGTGAGGAAGATTATAACAGCTATATAACACTGAGGTACAGTTGTAACAGCTATTGCTCACTGTGAGGTAGATTAAAACAGCTATATATAACACTGGGGTACAGTTGTAACATCTATAGCTCACTGTGAGGTAGAGTATAACAGGTATATAACACTGGGGTACAGTTGTAACAGCTATAGCTCATTGTGAGGTAGATTATAACAGCTATATAGCACTGGGGTACAGTTGTAACATCTAAAGCTCACTGTGAGGTAGAGTATAACAGGTATATAACACTGAGGTACAGATGTAACAGCTATAGCTCACTGTGAGGTAGATTATAACAGCTATATAGCACTGGGGTACAGTTGTAACAGCTATAGTTCACTTTGAGGTAGAGTATAACAGGTATATTACACTGAGGTACAGATGTAACAGCTATAGCTGACTGTGAGGTAGATTATAACAGCTATATAGCACTGGGGTACAGTTGAATCAGCTATAGCTCACTGTGAGGTAGAGTATAACCGCTATATATAATACTGGGGTACAGATGTAACGGCTATAGTTCACTGTGAGGTAGAGTATAACAGGTATATTACACTGAGGTACAGATGTAACAGCTATAGCTCACTGTGAGGTAGATTATAACAGCTATATAACACTGGGGTAAAGTTGTAACAGCTATGGTTCACTATGAGGTAGAGTATAACAGCTATATAACACTGGGGTAATGTTGTAACAGCTGTAGTTCACTGTGAGGTAGAGTATAACAGCTATATATAATACTGGGGTACAGATGTAACGGCTATAGTTCACTGTGAGGTAGAGTATAACAGCTATATAACACTGGGGTACAGTTGTAACAGCTATAGTTCACTGTGAGGGGGAGTATAACAGATATATATAACACTGGGGTACAGATGTAACAGCTATAGTTCACTGTGAGGTAGAGTTTAACAGCTATATATAACACTGGGGTACAAATGTAACAGCTACATTTCACTGTGAGGTAGAGTATAACAGCTATAACACTGGGGTACAGTTGTAACAGCTATAGCTCACTGTGAGGTAGAGTATAACAGCAATATAACACGGGGGTACAATTGTAACAGCTATAGTTCACTGTGAGGTGGAGTATAACAGATATATATAACACTGGCGTACAGATGTAACAGCTATAGCTCACTGTGAGGTAGAGTATAACAGCAATATAACACGGGGGTACAATTGAAACAGCTATAGTTCACTGTGAGGTAGAGTTTAACAGCTATATATAACACTGGGGTACAGATGTAACAGCTATAGCTCACTGTGAGGTAGAGTATAACAGCTATAACACTGGGGTACAGTTGTAACAGATAAAGCTCACTGTGAGGTAGAGTATAACAGCTATATATAACACTGGGGTACAGATGTAACAGCTACATTTCACTGTGAGGTAGAGTATAACAGCTATATAACACTGGGGTACTGTTGTAACAGCTATAGTTCACTGTGAGGTAGAGTTTAACAGCTATAACACTGGAGTACAGTTGTAACAGCTATAGCTCACTGTGAGGTAGAGTAAAACAGCTATATAACACTGGGGAACAGTTGTAACAGCTATAGTTCACTTTGAGGTAGAGTATAACAGCTATATATAACACTGGGGTACAGATGTAACAGCTATAGTTCACTGTGAGGTAGAGTATAACAGCTATATAACACTTGGGTACAGTTGTAACAGCTGTAGTTCACTGTGAGGTAGAGTATAACAGCTATATAACACTGGGGTACAGTTGTAACAGCTATAGTTCACTGTGAGGTAGAGTATAACAGCTATATATAACACTGGGGTACAGATGTAACAGCTACATTTCACTGTTAGGTAGAGTATAACAGCTATAACACTGGGGTACAGTTGTAACAGCTATAGCTCACTGTGAGGTAGAGTAAAACAGCTATATAACACGGGGATACAGTTGTAACAGCTATAGTTCACTGTGAGGTGGAGTATAACAGATATATATAACACTGGGGTACAGATGTAACAACTAAAGTTCACTTTGAGGTAGAGTATAACAGATATATAACACTGGGGTAATGATGTAACAGCTATATCTCACTGTGAGGTAGAGTATAACAGCTGTATAACACTGGGTTAAAGTTGTAACAGCTATAGTTCACTGTGAGGTAGAGTATAACAGCTATATAGCACTGGGGTACAGATGTAACAGCTACATTTCACTGTGAAGTAGAGTATAACAGCTATAACACTGGGGTACAGTTGTAACAGCTATAGCTCACTGTGAGGTAGAGTATAATAGATATATAACACAGGGGTACCGATGTAACAGCTATAGTTCACTGTGAGGTAGAGTATAACAGCTATAACACTGGGGAACAGTTGTAACAGCTATAGCTCACTGTGAGGTAGAGTAAAACAGCTATATAACATGGGGGTACAATTGTAACAGCTTTAGTTCACTGTGAGGTGGAGTATAACAGCTATAACACTGGGGTATAGATGTAACAGCTATAGCTCACTGTGAGGTAGAGTATAATAGATATATAACACTGAGGTACAGATGTAACAGCTATAGCTCACTTTGAGGTAGAGTATAATAGATATATAACACTGGGGTACCGATGTAACAGCTATAGTTCACTGTGAGGTAGAGTTTAACAGCTATATAACACTGGGGTACTGTTGTAACAGCTATAGCTCACTCTGAGGTAGAGTATAACAGTTATATAACACTGGGGTACAGATGTAACAGCTATAGCTCACTGTGAGGTAGAGTATAACAGCTATAACACTGGGGTATAGATGTAACAGCGATAGCTCACTGTGAGGTAGAGTATAACAGCTATATAACACTGGGGCACAGATGTAACAGCTATAGCTCACTGTGAGGTAGAGTATAATAGATATATAACACTGAGGTACAGATGTAACAGCTATAGTTCACTCTGAGGTAGAGTATAACAGCTATATAACACTGGGGTACAGTTGTAACAGCTATAGCTCACTGTGAGGTTCACTTATTTACAGTTAGACACTGATGTATAACTATCAGTGGGTTCTGATACTTCAGCACAATCAGATAAACAATCTCTGTGGGTTCTAATACTTCAGCACAATCAGATAAACAATCTCTTTTATTGATAGCTTTCTATTATGACATTAGATTTCAGTGCCTATAAGCTTTCATTTTATTTTTCTCTCTCTTTAAAAATATGATATATATATATTTGAAAGTTTTCAACTGATTTGATGATTTAATTTGATCTTTTCTTTAGATAGAATGATTACAAATACCTGAATTGGGCCTCAACTACACCTGTGTTTCTGATACCAACTCTTCAGTGCCTATCAAGTGGGCCTCAACTACACCTGGGTTTCTGATACCAAGTCTTCAGTACCTATCAATTGGGCCTCAACTACACCTGTGTTTCTGATACCAACTGTTCAGTACCTATCCTACCCTTCCCTGCAACATTTTTATAAAAGAGTTCAATGTGGCACCCAGGTAGTACTGTAGACTACATGGAATACTTACAGTTTGTGTGATAATCACCATGTTATGAGTGATATCTTTATATTTTCCAAAAATCATAAATTCAAGTCTACATATCACTAAAGTCGTTAATATTACATAATTTTATTGGTATACATTGAGTGAAGTGTTATTTAAAAATCCTCACAAATAGGCCCAGGAAGGTCTGCTGAATTAAGTTTGAGTTAAATAGTAGCAGTCTACAGAACTATAGGATTTTATAATTGATCAATTAAAATCTCATTGAGTGGTTTTAAAACTTATTATTTGAGTGCTATATAACTTTCATTTCATTGCTAAAAAGAAAATAAAAAAAGAAGATTGAGAATGCACTTACTTTATGTTCAGTTGTGCTCAGAAAATGTATTCTCCCAAAGTCATTTCCTGCACTCCCTCCCCTCCCCACCTCCAAATCATAAAACCCCGCATGTCATCCCCTCTGCAAGTCAATGCTGCCTCCCTTCCCCTCAAACCGAAGATGACTTCCCTAAAACTGTCACACCTGTCTCAAACCTCAGAATGCACCTACTCCAGAAATTATACCATTCATTTAACATCATACTCTCAAATGCAAACTCTCTTACCCAAACTGTGGAAGTCATACCTTCCAGCAAAGGATAGCGACACAAAAAACCAACTCTTAATTACAATGCCCTGCTAGAAGACAATTTCATCCAGCACCAGCCATCAAAAACCCCTGCCACAAACCATTGAAGAATCAGCCAAACCTAAAGAAAACCATAACCACATAGATTGTACTCCTCAAAAAGTTAAATCCAATCAACACTATTAACCCCACCCCCTTATCCAACTCACTATCACAACTCCAATGTCCCAGCCCAGAATACTGGTATCCCCTCCTCTACACCTTAATCTTAACCCCACCCCCTAATCCAACTCACCATCACAACTCCAACGCCCCAGCCCTGACTACTGGTACCCCCTCCTCTACACCTTAATCTTAACCCCACCCCCTAATCAAACTCACCATCACAACTCCAACGCCCCAGCCCTGACTACTGGTATCCCCTCCTCTACACCTTAATCTTAACCCCACCCCCTAATCCAACTCACCATCACAACTCCAACGCCCCAGCCCTGACTACTGGTACCCCCTCCTCTACACCTTAATCTTAACCCCACCCCCTAATCAAACTCACCATCACAACTCCAACGCCCCAGCCCTGACTACTGGTACCCCCTCCTCTACACCTTAATCTTAACCCCACCCCCTAATCAAACTCACCATCACAACTCCAACGCCCCAGCCCTGACTACTGGTACCCCCTCCTCTACACCTTAATCTTAACCCCACCCCCTAATCAAACTCACCATCACAACTCCAACGCCCCAGCCCTGACTACTGGTACCCCCTCCTCTACACCTTAATCTTAACCCCACCCCCTAATCAAACTCACCATCACAACTCCAACGCCCCAGCCCTGACTACTGGTACCCCCTCCTCTACACCTTAATCTTAACCCCACCCCCTAATCAAACTCACCATCACAACTCCAACGCCCCAGCCCTGACTACTGGTACCCCCTCCTCTACACCTTAATCTTAACCCCACCCCCTAATCAAACTCACCATCACAACTCCAACGCCCCAGCCCTGACTACTGGTACCCCCTCCTCTACACCTTAATCTTAACCCCACCCCCTAATCAAACTCACCATCACAACTCCAACGCCCCAGCCCTGACTACTGGTACCCCCTCCTCTACACCTTAATCTTAACCCCACCCCCTAATCAAACTCACCATCACAACTCCAACGCCCCAGCCCTGACTACTGGTACCCCCTCCTCTACACCTTAATCTTAACCCCACCCCCTAATCAAACTCACCATCACAACTCCAACGCCCCAGCCCTGACTACTGGTACCCCCTCCTCTACACCTTAATCTTAACCCCACCCCCTAATCAAACTCACCATCACAACTCCAACGCCCCAGCCCTGACTACTGGTACCCGCTCCTCTACACCTTAATCTTAACCCCACCCCCTAATCAAACTCACCATCACAACTCCAACACCCCAGCCCTGACTACTGGTACCCCCTCCTCTACACCTTAATGTGAAATCTCAGAATGGAGTTAATGTTGGGTTTTTCATGGTTTAATTGTTGTTGTTACCGATATATGTGTGTAAGTAAGTTTCTTAATTATGTTAATACAATTTGTTTGACAATCTGGGGAATGTTCAGGCATTTTTTCCTTGACACCAAGTATTTGTAAACCAAATTTTATGTCACTTTAAGATTCCATAGTGAATTATGTATGTATTTGATGATGTTTGCTCTGGCAATCCACATTACATATTAGTTAAATATTATTATCTGTTGATATCTATAAGCATTACCTATTACCATATTTGCCATATTGAATATCATGCTGTATTTGCCATAATAATGTGCACTTAGATATCCCTTTTAAAGGGCACTTTTCAAACACATTAATTGGGAACAAATTGTATAAAGACACGAGGTTTGCCAAGTGCCTTGTACAAATTGTATAAAGACACGAGGTTTGCCAAGTGTCTTGTACAGTTTGAATATGAACTAACTCCAGTCACAAGTTGAGGGACCACTTTCTCACTCAACGTTCACAAGTCTAGAAAACCTTCCTGTTTCTGATTGGGGCAATGATTCCTGTGAACTCTGGCGGGGCAATGATTCCTGTGAACTCTGGCGGGGCAATGATTCCTGTGAACTCTGGCGGGGCAATGATTCCTGTGAACTCTGGCGGGGCAATGATTCCTGTGAACTCTGGCGGGGCAATGATTCCTGTGAACTCTGGCGGGGCAATGATTCCTGTGAACTCTGGCGGGGCAATGATTCCTGTGAACTCTGGCGTCCCAATGGAAGATGACGTTACAAAGCATTATTATTTGATATCATAATTAAAAGATTGACCAATGAAATCACGTCCAGGGTGGTACTTACTAGTGGGTTACCAAAAATTCCTACCAGGTTTATCCAGTTCTAGTCTGTATGTTGTAGCATTTATGATGGCTCAACTATGTTAAACGTTTACTGGTAGTTGCTGGCACGGGGATTAAAAACAGCCATATGCTAGGTTTGTCATATTGTGGAACACACCACAGGTATGTATTGATTACGTATTGTTTAGTACCTGGTACATGTAATGTACAGTGCACTTCAACAGAGGAACAGAATTATTCCTTTTTTTCCTGGCATGACTAGAGCAGTCAAGTGAAGTGATTGAATGTTTGAATTGTTTACACCTTGCGGACCAGGTTCATCATTATCTCAGTACACAGGGAGGCTTTTACATAAGCCATCTTATCTTCCGATTTTCCCAAATATGAGATTTCTGATTTTTCTTAAGATTCCTTTGAACACTTAAATAAGATTTACTATTTAAATTGAAATGTATGAGGTTTCCTCACTTTTGAGATTAATATCTAAAAGAGAAAAGGTGTTTATGTTAATTGTTTTTTTAACAACAAACGATGTAAAATGTATTAGCTAGCTGAAACACATGTATGAACACAGATGGATGTCTATGTAGATAAGCGATGTATTTTAACCTTTTGGTTTGGTAAATAGGTTATAACATTGGTTTATATATTGGTTTTGTTGAAGTTCTTTATGTTTAAGCCAAAAATATTTGCTTTTCTTCATAAATTGTATAGTCAATATTTCAATGGACCACAAAAAGAGAATGAAAAATAATTTGTAGGCTATGTATGCTAAATAATCTGTTCTAACATGTAGGAAGAATGTACATATCATTATGTAGTGGGATTGTTTTACACTCGACAGCATTAATAGTTAATTCTGAGGAGAAACAATTTGTACCGATATGTGTGGGATGTCGTGGAAGTGTCATTGGCTTAAATGTGTTAGGAATTATAAGTATTAAAGTATGTATTGCATCAACATGACCTCGTCTTTTGTTTGAAACTTACCTGATCCTGAAGGACATTATAAATATGTTTATTGCACGTTGTGAATTGTATTATCCGCTGTCTGACAGTCAACATTATAATTTGGATTTCTGTTGATCTACAGAGTTTGACTAAAATTTGGTTGAAGTAAAATGTAAAAATTAACTTGGGGTCAACACAAAAGGAACACTGTTGGAACACACAGTCGATGTGAAGTTACGACGACAGGAACACAACATCAACATCAACACAAAAGAGAGATGAGACCTTGAGACATTGACACAAAATAGAGATGAGACATTGACACAAAAGAGAGATGAGACCTCGAGACATTAACACAAAAGAGAGATGAGACATCTACACGAAAGAGAAATGAGACATTGACACAAAAGAGAGACGAGACCTCGAGACATTGACACAAAAGAGAGATGAGACCACGAGACATTGACACAAAAGAGAGACGAGACCTCGAGACATTGACACAAAAGAGAGATGAGACCTTGAGACATTGACACAAAATAGAGATCAGACATTGACACAAAAGAGAGATGAGACATTGACATAAAAGAGAGATGAGACATTGACACAAAGAGAGATGAAGAGATGAAACATTGACATAAAAGAGAGATGAGACATTGACACAAAGAGAGATGAGACATTGACACAAAGAGAGATGAGACATTGACACAAAGAGAGATGATACCTCGAAACATCGATACAAAAGAGAGATGAGACATCGACACAAAAGAGAGATGAGACATTGACACAAACGAGAGATGAGACATCGACACAAAAGAGAGATGAAGAGATGAAACATTGACACAAAAGAGAGATGAGACATTGACACAAAAGAGAGATGAGACATCAACACAAAGAGATGAGACATTGACACAAAAGGGAGATGAGACATCTACACGAAAGAGAGATGAGACATTGACACAAAAGAGAGATGAGACATTGACACAAAAGAGAGATGAGACATTGACACAAAAGAGAGATGAGACATCGACACAAAAGAGAGATAAAGAGATGAAACATTGACATAAAATAGAGATGAGACATTGACACAAAGAGAGATGATATCTCGAAACGTCGATACAAAAGAGAGATGAGACATCGACACAAAAGAGAGATGAGACATCGACACAAAAGATAGATGAGACATCGACACAAAAGAGAGATGAAACATCGACACAAAAGAGAGATGAGACATCAACACAAAAGATAGATGAGACATGGACACAAAAGAGAGATGAAACATCGACACAAAAGAGAGATGAGACATAAACACAAAAGAGATATGAGACATCGACACAAAAGAGAGATGGGACATCAACACAAAAGAGAGATGAGACATAAACACAAAAGAGATATGAGACATCGACACAAAAGAGAGAGGAGACATCGACACAAAAGAGAGATGGGACATCAACACAAAAGAGAGATGAGCCATCGACACAAAAGAGAGATGAGACAACAACACAAAAGATAGATGAGACATGGACACAAAAGAGAGACGAAACATCGACACAAAAGAGAGATGATACATCAACACAAAAGAGAGATGAGACATCGACCCAAAATATAGATGAGACATCGACACAAAAGAGAGATTAGACATCAACACAAAAGAGAGATGATACATCAACCGACACAAAAGAGAGATGAGACTACGTGTCCAGAAAAATAAGGGTTTCCTGCAACATATGTGACTACTCGTGTCAATTCCAGGAATGGTTGTAGATCTTCATCCGGTAGAAAATGAAATTTCATTGTAGGATAAGAGGTTATGATGGCTATCGCTCTCTTACAATTACTAACTTATTAATTGTTAAACAGGACACGATAAAGCTTACCTCTCGTTACATGAGACATTGACACAAAAGAGAGATGAGACATCGACACAAAAGAGAGATGAGACATCAACACAAAAGAGATATGAGACATCGACACAAAAGATAGATGAGACATCGACACAAAAGAGAGATGAGACATCGACACAAAAGAGAGATGAGACATCAACACAAAAGAGAGATGAGACATCAACACAAAAGAGAGATGAGACATCAACCGACACAAAAGAGAGATGAGACTACGTGTCCAGAAAAATAAGGGTTTCCTGCAACATATGTGACTACTCGTGTCAATTCCAGGAATGGTTGTAGATCTTCATCCGGTAGAAAATGAAATTTCATTGTAGGATAAGAGGTTATGATGGCTATCGCTCTCTTACAATTACTAACTTATTAATTGTTAAACAGGACACGATAAAGCTTACCTCTCGTTACCATCAATATATACAATTAAATGATATTTTTATCACCGTTAACAAGATGACTTTTGTTTAAATATTTTGAAACAAATTATGGCTCGGGTCAACCAGCACAAGTTCTTACAAACATCTCTGAAATCGAGGAAGGACTACATAAAGATTATTCTAGCCACGTTTTGACATTAAACAAATACGACCAGAAAATCGCTGAAGGCATCAATGAAGAAATTTACTGGTAAAATTTCATATATGATGAAAATCGACAAGCGAGGAAAGAAGAAAGACTCGCGATCGGTGTCATGATGTCGCTTTTAACAAAGCATTTACAAAAAAAATCGACATATTCTATCATTTCGATAGAAGATACGCGTAAGGGACATGCTACTTATGTAGATAAATCAGTTCACATACCACCAATGTCTACTCAGTATATGATACGTGGGCTAAAGCTGATCAGGAACCAATCTAAGGCTGTCACACAGAAGCTTGAGTCGTCAATTAACTCCATTGGTGAGTTTACGTACCGCCACAGAACATAACAAAAGGCAAATGCCATGGTAAAGGAACGAAGACGGAAACAATGCAATCAGAGACTTATTGTTATTATTATCTCATGTAGGAGTTTCTTGTGGACATGGAAACTAAGCAGTTGGTTTATACTAAGAAACAATGAGGTCAAGGTTTTTCATAGACACGTTTTTAACGAGGATAAAGCAATGCTACCAGACACTGTTACATTGTATCACGTATACCAGGTACTTAAAATATGGGCCCACATTTTCTAAAAACACTACATGTAGAGATCACATCGCTTTGTTCTAAAGTTGTGGAATATATGAGTAATACATGTATATAAAATTATAGTGTTTCTGGAGGAGAACATCACATTTCAACCCATATTATACAGGTTATTTATAATTTCTCTTGTTGTCATAATATGGTGGAACGATATCTTTATGATCTTCCCAACATTTCCAACGCGATTGAGAAAGGTTTCACGTAAATATCGTTCCCTCATTATAGAATTAGAGACAGTATGATACTGGAAGTGACATATGTTGTGATGGCGATGACTATTCTCGTCCTGATTGTACCAAGCTGTGCGTCAAGAGACGTCAAACTCTTTCTTAGTGAATTTATTTTATGACCCATGTCTAGGGGACCATATACAATGTATATGGGGAAATAATTAGAAAACTTGTTCCGGAACATTACTTCAAATCATTAATAAACGAAGAACACTTTTAAATTTGTCAATTCGAGTTCCGTTTTGAAGGGATACTAATAACATTGGTAGCATCTTACAGTAATATAACGGTCGGTGGGTGGTCGGGTGGTGCAGTGGATAGCGCACTTGCCTTTCACCAAGGCGGCCGGGGTTCGTTTCCCCGATCGGACGTGAAAAGGTATGGGGTCACTTGCCCGACCACGTGGGTTTTCTCCGGGTACTCCGGTTTCCTCCCACAACAAGACCCCCCGCGCGGTAACATCCGGGCCAACAAGAGTGATTAATATAAGTTGAAATAACCTGTTTCATGATTGTTGTAAAATAAATAAAGTTTATATTTAATATAACGCGAATCAACTGATAAATGACATGAGCTGTAGGCGCTAGGGTTCTTCCGTAGAAACGATCTTGCCACATGGAAGAAAGGGCACGAAAAGCATATACAAAAGAGCCTCAATCATTCAGCCACCTTCGTTCTAGATTGTGGCGACAAACATATTTAGACAAAAACTGTTCCCTAAGACACTGACTGGATATATCTGGACAGCAGCAAACGGGCTGGACTGCTGTCACTGGAGACTGGAAAACTATGACTGATGAAAGTACACCTATACGTTATGGGTTAGTGGCCCATTGGTAGAGATAAAGATACCGTACACACGTTATTTTCGCGTGTACTTTATTTCACGAAATATGGCAGTAGGTTTTTATTCGTGAATACCTAAATTCGCAAAGTTATTTTGATATTGATATCATATGATATATTGATATAGGTTATGGCTGAACAAATATTCGCAGATGATTGAAATTTCTGATTGAAATTCCTCGAAAATTAACATGAAAATTAATATCTTACGAAAATAAGGTAATATGTGTACAGTATTCTAGCACTGGTTTGAAGTATTTCCTTTCAATGACGGAATTAATGGAACATTAAGAACTCTCTAATAAACAACCACAATATTTTGTATCCTTGGAACAGGGAAATATATCCACATACCCTGGACTCCACCTTTATGAATGTTGAATTGTAATCGACCTTTGCATGCTAACATGTTTAAAGTTCGGTGGTACCTTATAATAAGCTTACGACTGCTGTCACACTGTGTCATATTACCTGTGAATTTGGTATAATTAGCGGGGGTTTTCTGTGTTTGCCATCGGGCCTCAATGCTGTTTACTGTGTTTAACTGCCGAAGCCCTATCACTAATGTATTGACAGATTACTTAATGACGTCATTATCACTCATTATACATGAACGTCGCATATCTGGACAGACCAACAAACATATTTAGAAAAGAGAATCGCCAACAAGGACGTTATTATCAACAGTAATTACAGGAACCATGGATACACAAAACACAATAGTATTATTGGTCGAATCAAAATGATCCCCAAAACATGTAGTGGCGTTTTCTGTTAATCTTTTGTAGAGAGGGTCTCAACGTTAATTGCATTACATTTCAAAACTACACAGAATCCATAATATATCATTA